ATAAATATAGTTGCTGTAATGGCCGTTGTGAAAACGTTGATTGCAATTTATTGCGTTAGTTTCTTCCATCGTCCTCACACAGCCACTCTTTCGCCTTCGCACCGTCTCACTCCCACCCATGCGAGTATTTTTCTCTTCTCTTTGCTTTCGACATGAAGGAAATACCTTTTTATACGTCTTTTTTTCCTCTATTTCTTCTTCCCATTATTTATATTATATTCCTCTCTACCTTTTCTCAAACTTACGTACGTACATATTTCAACGACGTTATATTATATTTCCTTCTCTCCCCTCCTCAAAAAAAAAAACCAACCAAAAAGGCGATATATTACTCCTTTTTTCTCTCTTTCTCTCTCTCTCTCTGCACACCAACATATTATATTCAATCAATTCCCTCGTACAAAAATTCGCTCCTTACCCGAAAATTGTGTACACAAAAAGCCAGGGCGAAAAGACTTGTTGTTAGTTACAAAAATTATGTTTCTCTATAAAACATCCATATATCTCTAAGGGGTTCACTTTGAGCCCTGTTGCGACAAGGAACGCACACGAAATTGGACAGGAAAAGGTGAAAAGAGAGAGAGAGAGAGAGAAACGATGTGTAATCCTCTCCATGTTCACCAAATTACAAGCCATGTCTCTCCACTGAAACATCCTCTGCAAAGTCCACCCAATTTACCCCGTCCTTCGTCCCGTGGAAGCCTCAAAAACAGAGGGAAAAATCCATAAAACTCGTGAAAATGGTGGGCAATACCCGACATGGAATCTCTCGTTGCCACTGAAGTACCAACTATTCAATTGCCCATTCTTTCTTTTTCTCGTCTTAAATGGCAAAGTTGAATAGCACACACGAAGTTGATGAAAAATTTGCCGCACATAAATAGGATGGCTAATAGAAAATTTCCATTTATAGCAATATTCGGCATGCCATTCACAGATTTATGGCTAAAGACTAAAAGGTATTATTTCAAAAAACGACGACTGCGTGATGGTATTTTTCTCAACAAAAATGCACGTAGTCAGAATGCTTTTTTTTTCCTCCTCTCCTGCGCTTCGATGAGAGACCAAAACCGAAAAGGACTCATAAATAACCGAAACATTTCTTCTTAAGACAGTCAAACAGGAAATAAAGCATTTTTATGAAACTCACCAAAAACCCTCAAAGACGTGCACAGTTGAGAAGCAACTTGGAGAAATTATATGACAGTGAGAAGGCACGTTTGCGTGTTATAAGTTTGATAAAACCTGAATCTCTTCCAACTTGTCACACTGGTTGAGACAAGATTTCATTGGAATAGTCAGTTTGAGGTAGTTTTAGGACTTCTTACCTTTTTATTTTAAATGATAGTTTTTCAATAGTGTCTCAATTTTCCATTAAAACTCAAAATGTATGAGGAAATATTTCACTTAAACCTAACTTTTCTTTCTATAGTAAGAGGTCTATTGAGAACCAACTAGAAATTTCAATTTTTAAGAAAATATTGTGCATTCTTAGACTCTAATGGGCTTATCTCACTATACATTGAATTGTCGATAAATTCTTCTCAGCATCGACACTTATCGATACGATTATCGTGATATTTCCTTTTTTAATACAATTTCTGGGTAAAAATAGAACTGATACGTACTAATTAGTCCTCAAACAATCGATTTTAACAATTTCCCCCCTAAAATGAGTTTGACAAAAAGAAATTGCTCACAATTCGTGTCGATAAGTGTCGATATTGAAATGAACTTGCGGATATTTCAACGTACTAAACGCTTAACACAAATTGCGCTGTAGTTTCTGTTCATAGTCAAGGAATACCTTTGATTACATAATTGTTTCAAGCCTTTGCAAAGTTGTTCCGCAAGAGTTTATTCATAAATGGAGGATTTTATAAGAATGGAAAAAGTATTAAAATAAATACAGAAATACAACTATTTATTCGTATACCAAGAAAATCATATTCAAATAACACTCCAGTTTCCAAAATACAAAAACCAATTTTCATCTGTACTCCCAAAATTCAACGCATGTCACTTGCAAAACTACGACTAAACGGAAAAGGACGAAATCCCAGTTCATCGGCATAGAATTTCCCAACTTTCCATGACGCACCGCAGCAAATTCAACGCATTTCATCAGTCAAGATAGGAAATATAGGAGGAAAATTATAGACTCACCTTTTAAAATGCTCCCGAATTCGATCCTCGCGTACTGTTTCGGGCAAATTTCCAACCCAAAGGTGTCGAGTCTCGCGTACCATTTTGCCTCGGATTCTTCATGGAGGCGTTTCAGGGGCGTCCTCCTGAACACAACACTGTGTTTTGTCGATTTTCAACCCCCCTTTGATTATGGTTGATTTTCTCGAACAAAAACACTAGTGCTCAACGGCGAAATATCCTCTTGAAAGACCGTGTCTTCCGGGGTTGTTTATTCCAAAAGCCAGTTGAGGTGGAGATTTCACTTCGGATCGACACTTCAACACTTCTTAAGCACTATTTCCTTAGCCAACTTTCTTCTCCTGACGGCCGGGAAGAGAGAGAACGAAAATGAGGGATGAAATAAACACAAATTGTATTAGATTATAGTGGAAAAACAAAATTTGGGCGAAACTTCACTTCTTCTCTTTTATTTCTTTATTTTTTAAAGGATTTTCAATCGCGCTTCGCTCTCTCTTCAGATCAATTTTTCCGACACACTGTTTCGAGAGGGTGGAGAAAATCTTCACACACAATTTTTCCCTTCCTCCACTTTATCCCTCTCTCTCTCTCTCAACTCTCCACCGATCCTCTCGTCACTCACAGAATCACTCGAAAAAAAACCGGAGAGATGCTCTTTGTGGCCTCTATTGATTACTCTTCGCCGCGAACACTGCCCAATTCGAGGAGTGGATCAACTAGAGCACCACCGGCCCCACATTGAGTCCACTTTTCCAATGATTTGGACACTCTTTCCACGATTTCATATACATTTTCCCATCCATTTCTACGTCTTGCGAGCTAACATGTCAATTTCTCTCTCTTTCTCGGGGGCTCTTTTCCTCCTCTTCTCTTTTCCTTAGCGCCCAAAGCGCGTTTTGGGGCCCGCTCGGATGTGGGTGGAGCACAAGGAGTACCGAACTAAACAATACACCACCAGGAAGTCCTTCAGCTTGAGGAACTTCCGGAGACACTCTCTTCTCTCCTTCTTCCCCGCGCGCGCCACAAATACTTTACACTGCGTATTTTCCTCACCGTTCACCGTTTTTTTTTTTGCCTTCCTTCTTCCTTTAGGCGTAGCCCAACATTCTCTCTTCACCCACTTTCCATCCCGTCTTCTGCCTTCCGCACACTCTTCTTCTCTGCACACCCCCGAAATTTCTCTCTCTCTCTCTCTCTCACCCTCCTTTACTCTTCACACCATTTGTGCCCTTTCAGCATTTTCCAGCGAAAAAAGAAACTTTCACGAATGCATGCAAGAAACTCACTTCTTGACCGTCAAACACAATTTCGGGGCTGCGGAACGAAATTTACACTCTTCGCGACACCCTTAACTTTCACAAAATCGCAAACACCGCCACTTGATCACTTTACAGTTTGCTCAAGAGAACTCTTTTTTTTCGAGGGTTTATACCTCTGCGATCCACCGCCGAAGCTTACTTCATCTCTTGTTGGCTCCCGATGACAGAACTTCCTGTAGACTTTCCACGGTGGAGAACTGCAAAAGAGACGAGAGAAAGAAGAATAGGAGCGAAAGATACAAAAAGAAAGAATCGTGAAAAGTATGCCTCAAAGTGATCCACAAAGTGACAATTGGAACGGATAAAAAAAAAACCTAAAAACCCAGTGAGAAAATTCCGACCTTTTCCCCCAAAAACATTCACCTGTGCAAATACGAAATCGATTAGACTCTAGCATTATTTCAAGAATCTATTTCTCTTTCTGATTCCAGGCCATGGAACTTATTCAGCAAACCAAACAGACTCTACACGTGCCACAAAATCCATCCCGAAAGGCCAGGTTTAAGAGGTCTAGGAAGTCTTGCCAACGCAGCCCAATCGAAATGCGCTGACAACTCTCAAACTCTTGTCTTTGGCAAGAGGAAAACACACATTTTCGGTGCAGGGAATTATGTAAGAGTGGAATTTTTGCTGTAATCGCACAGAATTCGTCAGCTTCTCAAATAGAAAACCAACATATGATGTGAAAATTGAGGGGGGAAAAAGCTCTCGCCTTAATCTTGTCCTGACAAGTTGGCTAGAAAATCTCCAGTTAAATCCCACTTCCAGCAGCCTTAAACCCAGAATCTATCGTGAGTCTCAATCTGGCCTTGTTTTTCCGCGGATGAGTGGAAAGAGAGTCGTGGAAAATGTTTTTTCACCATCATTTTTTCACAGAGCCTCACATAATCCATCTTTTGGGCGTGTGTTGCTGCTGCGAGAGTGTATTTGCTCGGGCAATATTGAGGGAGAAAAGCGGACTGTGTGCGTGAAAATTGCTCTCCGCCGACTTTTCGGGGGGCTCACGCTGGTGCACGGGTGGAAAATTGGGCAGAGCCACCCTCGGTGGGCCCCACCAAATGGCCGGGAGCGTTGCGGGGTGTGCTGGGAAAATTCCGGGAGGGCACGCGCTTGAGGCATCGCGAGGAAAAAGGTGTCAATGTACGCCACTCTGGAGGGCCTCGAGAGCCACAGAGAAATCTACGTGATATTTACCACAGAATCGCATGAGAATCACTCCACTGCACACTCTTGATCACTCTCGTGTGGTTATTTTTTTCACAAATCTCATCAACTTTTACCCATCGAAAAAGTGCGTTTTTTTCACCCAAACGTTGCGCTGCCGATGTTCACTCTACGCGCGTTTTGCTCTTACTGGCCAAAGTGCAATGGCTGCCGGAAGCCGTGGGGTTGCCACACGCGGCACACGTTCCCGGCCGTCGCGGCATCGGGTTGCCACACGGCGCACCACTATTCGTCAGCAAACAGTTAGGGAAACTGCGCGGCTGGCTATGAAGAAATCCACTAAAGGGGAGTTTATTTCAGGCACAATTGTGTGGAAAATTAAACAGAATTCTTACATACAATATTATGTAAGAGAATTATTTGGTAGTCAATTCCAAAGTATTCCAGATGAGGAATAAAGGCAAAGAAAAATCACTTGATCTTCAATCACAGTCGATCCATCCGGAGTCTGTCTATTGGGATCTTAAGCTTCACTCCAAAGTCTGCGCCTCTCTTCCGCTCCTTCTTCTCCTTCTTGTGCTTCTTCCTCTCCTCGCGATCCTTGCTCTTGTTCTTTTTCTTCTCCTTGTGCTTGCGCTTGTCCTTTTTCTTCTTCTTCTCCGCCTTGCTCTTGTGCTGCACCGGACCTGTGACGACCTCCTGGGCCGTCCCAGGCTTAGAATTCACAACAATCGCCGGCTGTTGAGTCTCGCAACTGCTCTCGCTGAGACTCTCCTTGAGCAGACAACTCACCAGATAAGGATTCGTCTCGATGCTGTTAGCCAGCGAAGGCGGAATCGCAGTGGATTTCTCGCCCAGATTCAGAAAATTCATTGATGCTCGTGCGTCGTTCTCCATCTCAGAGCGCTGCATCTTCGCCTCCCGGGTGCCAGTGTCCCTCTCCTGGCGAGTCATCTCGTTAAAGGAGCGCTTCACACCGCTGATCGCTGTGCACGACGTCATGGGCTTCACAGTAGCCACTTTCTTCTCACGCTGGCCAGGAGCGCCAGGAGTGCAGGTAGTCTTCTGCAGTGTCTTCTCAACACACTGATATCCGCGTGAGTTGTATGAGCTCGGATGTGTCCATCTGGCATCGCCAAAGCAGGACTTTGAGGATGACGGGAAAGGCTCCATCCTCTGTTGATGGTGCGGAAACAGGGGTCGATCCTTGTCCGGCTGCCTTGGATTGTGATCCACTGCCTGAGTGGAACAGTGCATCTTTAGTCCATTCGACGGGATCTTGTCGTAGATGAGCAGGAATTCCTCGGTTAGTTGCACCAGCAACTCCTCCGTCACTGACTCGTCCACATGCTGATACCACAGCAGCCCCTTGGACGAGTGCGGAATCTCCCAATTGGACCAGCGACAAGCCAGATGGATGCAGAAGCACGCCACAACCGTCGGCCTGTACCGGAGACACATCGTTGTGAGATGCAGACTGCAAATAAAGTTCCCTGGATAAGTTTCCTCCCATTCCGTATGGCTTTCCGGATGGCAATTTACCTGGTGGACGCTATGAAGTAGGAATTCTTGGTCAGATCTCTGCACGCTGTAAGAAAATGTTTTTGCTATGAAATTGCCGCACTTCCTGTGCCTGATTCTGTTTCACCTCTCACGAGTTGACACGCCTTCACGATGTGCGAATGCGGATGATCAATGAGCAGATCAAAGCCGAGTGTCTGGAGAAGGATGTGCTCGTTGTACAGCATGTCCCGCACCTGCTCAGCGAAGAACTCCCCGAACCGATTGGGCGGCACGTTGAGACACCTGAGAGCTGCACAAATGACATGTTCAACCTTCCGCGGCTGCTCCTCCACCTGCAAAACACCCACGCACATTCCGGGGAGTCAGACAACTGCCAAAAGACGCCATAGCTCAGAAAAGCCTCACCTTTGCCGCAAGAAAGAGGCTCGCCGCGGCTATTCTGTGCCGATTGAAGAGTGTAAAGGAATGAAAGGCGTAGAAGCGATGCATATACACAATGGCGGTGTTTCTGCACAGCTCAGATCTGCATAAATAAAAGCAGACGAAAGGAATCATATCCCGAGAATCACGCAGAGGCTTAAGGGTATTTTTGAGGAAGAAAAGCCTCCGGAACTGTCACGAACGTCCTTCGTGATCATGCTCAGGCGAACTCACACTCTCAGGGAATTTCCCATCTCCTGGATGAAGTAAGTCGTCTGCTGACGATAGAGACGCTCCTTATCTGCATCTATACCACACTTCCGGCTCGGAGAATTCGCCAAAGCTTCCGCAGTGAAGTACCATTGCGGAGCCATGTTTTGTCAACTGATCACTGCGATTTCCAGGTTAGAATCATTACGTTGCCGCCATGTCGGCCAAAATTCAAAAACTTTTCGATTTGCGGAATTTGTCGTGAAGTTCGATGATTTCACTCAATTTCAGTTTATTTCAGAATTGTTGAAAGATGAAAAAGATTAAAATTCCCATTTTCCTCCTGTGTTGCGGATTTTACAAGATGTTTTTTGAACATTTTCCAGTGAAGTAAATTTCGCTTTAGCCAGTGAAAATTTCAAACCATACAAACCCATTTTGACAATGCGCGCCTTCTCTCGATGGTTCCCGCAAGCTCCGCTTTCAGCGCCAAATGAAAAACAGTCTCAATTGCATTGCCACCTCTTTCCTTATTCATCATTCTCAATCCAGATAACAAAAATAACCATAGCATTTCAAGTATTGATGGAAGGGTGAGTGGGGCGCCTCACTCCACCACTGTGACCTCAATGGGCGGCGTGAAGCGCCAGATGTGAGCGTCCGCGTGTCTGTGTCCGCTCATGGACGTGGGGCCCGTGACCACAGAAGAGGCGCCTCCGCCGCTGGACGTGGATTCGGCCGCGTGGCTAGAGATAGAGACCATGTGGGAGTTCTGGGCGCTGCACTGAATGTCCGCCTTGAAGCGTCCCGGAGTAAAAAATATCACTGAGCATTCGTGGGAGGCTCTCTCGCTGCGCCCCAGGAAGGGTATGAGTATTCTGCGCACACACACGACAGAGCAAAGTTAGATGATTTCTCCAGTGGAGAGGAAAAGGAAACTCACTCATTGGTTCCTGACATAATGATGCGCGTCTCGAGACGATAGTTGTGCATCCCATTCTGATAGTCCTGGTAGAACTGGATGGAGATAATGAGCCGATGAAGTGGTTGTGGCGACAGATTAATTATCGACACGCCCAGAGTCACACACTCGCCAGTCATCTTGGAGATCTCAGCTGTGCTGCTCACCTTCTCCCGATCAATCGTGATCTCTGCAATAACACAGTCCATCAGAAATCATCCTCTGACATCGCGCCTCCCGGGAAAACGCCACTCACCCCACTGCAGAGGAGCCACAGTGACCAGATCCAGCATCACCGGTGAGAGAGTGATGCCCTTGAGCGATGCCAGACCTTTCGTCTCTGTCCCCACCAAACTCCAGCGCAGATTCACCTGATCAGCAATGTGTCCCGAGCAGATCTTCTCAATCTGATCCGCCTCGTGACCACTCAGCACACTGATCGATTCACTGATCATCCCACCCTGAATCTTCTCCAGCGGACACCGCTCCACAGGCACGGGAATCCGGCAGCTCTCCTTTGCCTCGATGACAATGTTCTTCTGCTCTGTGTACTGCAACGCCATTTCCTGGCCCGTCACATTCACCACGTCCAGCACCAGATAGAACTGCGACGGCGTCTCCGCCGGCAGCACATCCCAATTCGTGATGTGCGCACTGGGAAGGAGTTCCAACGGCAGAGAAGCCGACACTTGACGACAGAATCCCTCCTGGAAGATCGATCGACAGTGAAATTTTGGCGCGTGAAAATGCGAGAGAAACTCACCTGATAGCCAGCTCCGCCGGAGAATCTCAGTCTCAGTTGCGCCTCCATGTGTCTCGCGGCAGTTCCCATGGTCGCCGTGTTGAGACTCACGGTGGCCAGGGAGGAATGTCCTGAGTGTGTGCTGCGGAAGCTCGATGTGAGCTCCGTGTTGCGCCTGTGCGTGGGTGAACTCACGCGACTGTGATTGCTGGGTCCGGACGTGACTGTCATGAGACTCGTCGATCCCACACTGAGACTCTGTGGCCCCTCGTGCACCACTTGTGGCGGCGACAAGCCCACGCCGGCGGACAAGAGAGACAAATTCACAGGACCCAGAAAGTCAGCATCGCCAAAGATGCGCAGCGTAAATGTGGCACTGGCCTGAGGAGCAATGGGCAGAGCCTGATTCATCTCTTCGGGCGTCACCCAGTGGAAAATCCTCGCCTGAGCGGCCAAATCGAGCTGAGAGTGAATGGCACCCTCGAGGAATTCAATCGGCACAGATCCCGTGTTCGTCAGCGTCACAATAATCTCCGCCTCCTCACCATTGTACAGCGTCATGCCCTTCTCCGCCAGCGATGTGGTCACAGAGAGCGTCGGCAGGGCCGGAATCACTTCCACATTCACCGACGTCGGCAAGTGCTGTCGACTCCGTTGCATGTCGCGCAAGCGACAATTGCTCTTCACGCCCAGCGTGTGAGTGCTGTAGCCCAGAATCTCCAGCGTTCCCACCTCCAGAGGCGTCCCCTGGAGCGTCACAGATGTGGCCACTGGACTGGCCACGAGAGAGATGGTCTGAGGACGTGACTCCAGCACAACTCCCGTGCTGAGGAGACGCATATCGCACACGTGAAGCTCACCGGGCAGAGGATTCTTCAGCTTCAGCGCCACCTCGCCCACATCGTGCTGCACCCACTGAACTGGCTGAGCGGATGCACTCCCAGACCCACCAGATCCGCCGCCTGCGCTGCCCCTGTGCTGACCACCCCCAGTGGCTGAGGTGAAGTGAATGGGCGTGAAGAGAAATGGGCCAGAATCCACCTGAAAGACACCATCGAGAGAAAGCCATTAAACACAAACTCAATAAAACTTTCCACATCGACGAGATAATGAAACTTTTAGCACAGATTGTGAGACATTCTGAAGCGCATCTCCTCCGGTTCGTGGCATCGAAACGTGACCATTTTCAAAGGCTCATGCATTACACAATGCCAGTCATTTAATGCAACCTTCTTGCAATTTCCATTCAGTCAATAAGAACTGAACATTGTGGACTCTTGAGCAGTAAACACTCAATTTTTCAGTACTTCGAATTGAATTGAAAAGCATTGAAAATCATAATATGGAATTGTTATGAAATGCTAATTAGAAACTATCGAATAAACCACATTTTCTCACCTTATTCGTGGCAATCTTGTGCGGCCTGAGCGCCGGCGGGAGTTCTCGCACTTGCAACTGGCAGCAGAAGGGCAGATCCGTGAGATTGGCTGGTGGCAAGACTCTGCCAGAGTCCAGCACCAGCGGAACTGGCGCTCCTTCGCACTGCGCCGCCAGATTCTGCAGATGCGTGGCCACTTCGTTTTGCTCCGCAGGACTCAAGCTGGGCCACATTGTCTGAATCATGTACGTGAGATGACGAACAGCCACAGCTGCATTGTCCATCTTCTTGGCCGCCATCACGAGTTGCTGCAGCAGATCCACCTGCAGACACTTCCATCCGGAGTCCTGACTGAGCATTTCCAGCGGATCCAGAGACATCTTGTGTCCCGGAAAGCTGTCCAGCATGAGTCTGTAGCTGGCTGCAAAGTCCGGATTGGCATTGCTTGCAGCCACGTGACGCCAGGCGGCCAGGCGCTGGCAGAAGGACGCCTTCCTGTGATAGCCAATCTTCTCGTACAATCCCGTGAGCGTCTCGAAGCGCTGCACGCGCTCCTGCTCGCTCATGTTCAGATTTATATACAGCACATTCTGCAGGAACATGGAGACATCGAGATTCTGGCCCTGCTCAATGCAAATCCGGGCCGCTTTCAGCGCCGCCTCCGTCTCAATGATGCCCGCGTGGCGATACTTGCTGTAGTTGATGATTGCATCCCGATACCTGGCGGTGATGTCCTCGGGCGAGAGGATGTTGGGCGGAAAGGGGGCCACCGGGGAATCCTCCATGGACCCAGGCGGCGCCACAATGCTCGACACACTCGACGAGCTGCCCGTGGTCACGCCCGGTGAGATGCTGGACGTCAGGGATGACGTGGATGACTCTGACGAGGAGGACGACAGTGAGGAGCAGGTGGACTTCACCACTCCACTGTCCGCCTCCGCGTTCGATTGCACAATACCGGCCGCCTTCTTGGCCGCCGACGACGACTTGGACGCCACGCGACGCTGTGGCGATCCGGCCTCCTGCAGACTAGCATTTCGTTGGAGTGGCTGCGGCTGGCGCATGTGGGGATACAGCAGAATCGCCGACGCGGCGCACAAGCCCTCATTGGCCGCCCCGAGCCACAGTGAATCACTTATGGCACGCAGAGTCTCGCTGGCGGCGTGAAACAGCGTTAGGGATTCCGCCACCAAGCCCGCCTGGAGCGTCAGGTCGGCCAGATTCTTCGTCACGCGCCCCATGCAGCGCTTCCGATTGTTCCGCGACTCGAGATCGAGGCCTGCGAAGCACAGAGAGAGAGAAAGAAGCAAGATATTAGTGGTCAGGCAACTCCCCTCGGCTGTCCTTCAGATTCAATGCCCTCCAACATGAGAAAAAGACCTTTTTCCGACCGAAAGCGGTCTTACAACATAACATGTGGAATAGTACAGTCACTGTTCGTGACATCAATCATTCAACTGTGCAATAAAGTATACGATTTTCTGAATAAATTTCCAAGCAAAGCAAACAGAGGGAATTCTCGGCATCAAAGGGAGCATTCATGATCCCCCCGCCCCCCGCCTCTCATTAAAATACCCATCAATCTTAGGAGGGAAAGAAATCGACACGACCATCGATAATTGGGCGCACTTCCCGCGATTGTTGTGTCTGCCTTCGTGTGCAGATCATGAATGAATTTCACCCTGATCATTTTCCATGCGGATTACGGACGAGCGGCAGCAGTGGAGCGTGACACGAGCGTGATGCGCATCACGGATCACCGACCGAATTCCTGCACTCACCCACGAAGTCTCGCTTCTCGAAGGGCGCCAGCAGCAGAGCCACCTTGTCGATCTTCTCCCGCGAGCGCTCCAGCCGCTTCGACTCCAGCACCCAGAACAGCGCCGAGATGAACTCCGCCATGGCGGACTCCAGGTTGGCGCACACGTCGTTCTCCGGGTAGAAGAAGGCGCGGCTCTTGAAGTTGGGCGGCGGCGTGAACAGATCCTGCAGCTTCTTGCTCGTCATGGGACTCCCGCTGGCCTTGCCGTTGGCGCTCACCTCGTCGTCCACCGGCTCGCCGTCGCCCTCCGGAATCACTTCGGCCGGCGGCGCCACCGTGGGGCCGAACAGGAGGCACCGCGAGTCGTACAGCGTGGACGTGTACTTGACCTTGAGCGACTCGTGAATGCGACAGAGCTCGTTCAGCTCCGTCTGCGTGTCGAACTTGCCCACGGTGACGAGCCCGAGGAGGCGACGGTGCGTCTGGAAGTCGCCCCAGTCGTTGTTCTCCACGGGATGGTCGCGAATGTAGCGCACCCAGATGTCTCGCGGGAGCCCGGCCGAGTCCGGGATGCGCATTGTCTGCACGCGCTGTATGCGCTCGAAGACCTTCTGGAGGGAGCGCGGCTTGGCGGGCCCGATGCCACGCACGAGCACCAGCAGCGCCCCGTGATGGTGGGCGTTCTGCTCGTAGTCCGGATGCGACATGATCGGCTCACCAGACCCCTGCGACAGCATGTAGCTCACGGAAGATCTCATAGGTCACTCGTGGACGCCCGCCGGACGTTGCTGACTGGCCTGCGGGAGAACGAGAAGAAGGAAGTGACACAGTGTCCCCCTTTCTCTGTGGCCACGCAAATTGTCACCTTCCACGCCACTGTAGCCGCACGCACGCACACTTCACTCACGCCACTCGAAGGGAATCATCGCGAGGGAACACTTATGCAATATTTTCACCTGAAAAATCGCCCCGAAAACACTTTTTCCACGGGATGATAAAAAACAAGACGTCAGAGAAAAACATAACCTCACTTCCCCTCCAATCAGAGCGATCGCAGCGCTCTTGTGGGAATTCTCGCGCTCCGAACAAGTCTCGCAGATGTCGCTACTCGAGTCGATGTGAATTTCCCGCCAATCGCCTACCTTCAGGCGAACTATGTATTTCATTATTCTTCAATTTCTCCCACCAAAAATTCTCTTTCTTCTCTGGAATAGTTTATTCTTTATATTTAAAAATAATTCGGTAGACTACATACAAAATTATCATTTACTCTGCAATGCATTAAAATTATCAAATATTTTTTATAACAAAAGTATTATATGGCGCTTGTGTCTAGGGCGGCTGGCCAGGCTCAGCCGATGAAGGGCGACAGATCGGGGAAGCGGAAGCCCTGGAACGTCACCACGGGCAGCGATCGTGATCTGGCGGCGCGGTGGAGCGGCGGCGCCGTGAGTCCTGGAATATTGCTGGAGCCAGCGCCGTTGTTCTGCAGCACCAGGCCACATTGGGCGCTGCACACGTCGTCGCGCAGGATCACGTCTCTGGGCCACTCCCTGGCCAACTGGGCGCAGTCCGTGATTCTCAGAGAGGCGCACTGAGCGCCTTCGCTCGTGCAGATGCAACTCGTGCACGGAGATGGGAAGGCAGACTCGCCCACGCTCACGTGGCGACCGCCAATCTGGCAGCCCTGGACGACGTTCTCGCGCCAGGCGCTCAGGTCAATCTGAGGCATTGTGTGGCAGGGCACTCGAGGGTTCCTGTGGAGAAAGAGAGACGCTCAGCGGGGAATTTCCGAAGAGTGGCGAGAGTCAAACTTACAGGAAGTTGCTGGGAAGATCGAAAGCAGCTCTCTGCATGTCTCCGGGAATGTCCAGATTTTCGCAGAAGATCTTCGCCAACGTAGTCTTTCGGATCTCAGACAGTTGTGCCTCTGAGAATCGCACTGCGGGATCTTCATTCTCATACCTGGCAAACAGAGATCACACATTTCACTCTCCAGGAAGGTGCAAACAGAAATCCAAGGTCTACTCACCAGAACCTATCACATTTCCTCAGCTGTCTGAACTGGATGGCGATGATGCAGGCGAAAGTGGGTCCCACAAGGCCGCCCTGGAGCGGTCGCTCCGACATGGCTCCGGGGAACAGGTCAATATCGTCCACAGAAGCGTAGAGCCTCTTGAAGCGCGCGATCACCTCTGGCGGAATCTCCCTGCTCAGATCATCCCAGTCGTTGGCCCTCTTTAGGTTGCACAGGGCGCGGTAGTTGTTGTAGCTCGGGATGCCGTGATCCCTGGCGCGTTGGACGTTGAGAGCGATGAGATCTATGCCGGAGAAGGGAATGCGCCGGTCCTCGAAGAGATGGTTCGTCACCTCGCCAGTGATGAACTGATCCAGTGTCTCCATGGGCGTTGAGACGAGTCCTCTGGAGATCTCGTCGACCATGCCGGGCTGGAGGATCATGTCGGGCTTGAAGAAGCCGTCGCGCAGGAGAATCGGAGGATCGATCGGCTGATGGTTGGGACTGAGTCGGGGAATGTGAGGTCTGAGCAGAGAGTGGCCGATTCTGAAGGCGGCCGCCGCGAACTCCGTCACGATGGCGGGATTGCAGGTGGGATTGTAATCCTTGTAATAGCCCTGCGGCAGGAGCTTCAGCCCGTACAGATTCACGGCGTTCCAGCTGAGGATGCGCGGCAGGAATTCGTTATATGTGATGTGCTGATTCTGGGCAATGAGAATTCGGCGAGCATGTTCGAAGAGCTGATCGCCCGACCAGTGAGGATTCACGCCTCGCAGGCCCTCGACAATCCTGTTGTGCTCCCGGAGGAAGATCGTGTGGATCACAGTGAGAGCCGGCTGCTCAGAAGCTCTTCCGTCTCCGGCAATAAAGCAGTATCCGCTGGGAGCTTTGCACTCCGGATGGGAGGGACTCTGCGGGAGCAGTTCCTTGCCCTTGATCGGGTGGATAGTGGAGTTCATGCGTCCGGAGAATCCCCTCAGTTTGTTGGCCACACACCAGTTCTCGCCGTACACTTGGGAAGCGTCCAGGAAGGCTGTGTTCTGGTTCACCTGCTCTCGGGGTCCGAGGCTCTGTTGTCCGGGCAGGGATCTCATGAAGGGGAAGCACAGGCGAGCGCCACTCGTCACATTCACCTCCGGATAGTAATGATCTCGCGGTGGAACCGGGAAGGGATTGCACTCGGGATGCACAGTGCGCGGGGAGTCGCAGGATCTGCAGTTGGGAATGGACTCGTGGAAGCCCTTGTGAATGGGCGTCATCGTGAGATCGTGGTCGAGGAACTGGGCGTACTGCATCACCATCAGAGAATATCGCGTGTGGAGATTGGAGATGTCAGGATGGATGAGGGATGAGATGGTGCGTGGATTGGGAAGGATTTGTCCAGATACGGAAGTGATTCGAGGCTTCGAGACGCCATCTTCATAGACCGGCGGCAGGAGGCGAGCAAAGACGGTGAGAGATTGGCCGAGGTTTGGCGATCGCAGATTGTTGCAGTATCCAGACATGCTCCTGAACGGCGACGTGGAGTCGCATTGCGCCGTGAGATCTTCACACTGGGGCTCGAGATTGATGGGCGAAATGGATCCCGACAGGAGGGAGTTCACATCGATATTCTGCAGGCTATCTGTGAAGTCATCGCCTCGCGAGAAGGAGCCCAAGATGTTGCTGTCGAACGTCTGACGCTTCCTTCGCTGATTCTTGTGCAGAGTGTTCAGGATTTCGTTGGAAGCAAACTCGTAGAACAAAGATGAATTGGCCAGGAGAAGAGCATTTCTGTTAGCCTTACTGAACGAGGCGGCGGTTCCGTCAGGAGAGCGAGCGTCGATTCCTCCCTCTGAGAATTTATCAAATTAACATCAACTCCTGCCCAACAACTGATTCCCAAGCAGAAATACTCACGTTCTAGCCACACTTCGTATTCGAAACGCTTCCGGGCCGCGAGATCTTCCTGCGCCCTTCTCAGAGCCTCTTTAATCTGCTCAGGACTCAACTCCTCGACGTCTGGCATCCTTGTCGTCTCTTCCAGAGTATCCTCGACGTAGTTGTTGTCCTCGAACTTCCACGCGGACAAATCAAGTCCGGAGAGTTGGTCACAAGTCAAGCGAGCATTCCTGGAAAGACGTGTGCATCTCATTAGTCCTGACCTTCAGTGTCTCATTGGAATATTCAGAAATCAGGCTACTCTTGAACCACCTGGCAGATGATCAATGCGATAGTCATACAAGCGATTAGTGTAAATTTGTGAAATCAATTTACGCCAGATAATTTGGAGGTAATTTCCGAAACGTGCTAATGAAGGTTGTAACGTCTTCCGAGAATCTCGTATTAATTATTGATTTTTTCAAATCTTGACCATGAATAGTCGATCGGAAGACGAGAAATACGAGTATTGTTATCACAGGTGATTGATGGACTCACAAGTAGGGATCCTCGCGGATGAAAGCCTTGGGCTGCGACCGGGAGACTCCATCGGCGGCACACAGGAGTCCGGACAAGGACACCCGCCGGACGGCCTTCAGCTGATCCAGAGACAGCGAAGAAGGAGGCAAATCGTTCTCGTACCAGAACCTGTCGCTGTTCCTCAGACTGGCGAATTGCGTGGCCAGGAGGCATGAGAGAGTGGGACCGAACACTGATCCGGGCTGAGGTGTCTCCGAGAGAGCACCGATCAGGAGATCCACATCGGCAGCGTTCCTGGAAATTCAGTTAGGATTATATTCACGAGAAGCGAGAGGAATTGTTAAGTAATTCTTACAGATAGATATTCTTGAGAGCCTTAGCCGTAGATTCTGGGATTCCTGCTGACTGGAAGTCGTCAAATGACGTTCCAGCTTCCCGATCAGTTGCCAGGCGAGCCTCACAGAGATTAAGAGCGTCAGAGTAGGCTGGGATGCCGTGATCTCTGCCTCTCTGCAGAGCCAGAGCGATTTCCGTCCAGGACTTGTCTGCGGACTTCTCGAGCGGAATGAGAGTCTTCACGAGAGCTGGCGTCCTGATCAGGATCTCCGCCGACGCGGAGTCGTCCATCATCGCGGCGGGGAGCATGGTGAGGAAGGCGGGCAGTGCGGCTACAGCCACTTCATTGAACACTCCGCCCCTGTTGGTGCTCGAGTACTGATCGTAGTGCTTCGACGTCTCGAGGCGCAGTTCGTCTTTGGCTGTGATTTGCTGGCCGAGCACCACGGGAAGGAATTCGTTGTAGGTGATGTGCTGGATCTGGGCCGTCACGGCGCGCCTGGTCTCCAGGAAGAGCGTCGTGTCCGTCCAAACTGGATTCATCTTCGACAGCACGGCGGCGATGCGGTTGTGCTCGCGCAGGAGGATCGTGTGCAGCGCTCCAACAGCGCCCTGCTCATTGCACCTGGCGCAGGCGGAGATGTTCACGAGGCCGCCCTTGTGCGTCCGCAGTCGCTGGAAGTCCGACTCACTGGCCCCATACAGACCGGATCCGTCAATGTAGCCGGAGACAGAGTTCATCTGCTCACGTTGCTCTGCAAGGCAAACCAGGAAGTTGCACATGAATCATCTTCATTCAAAAATAAATTACGCCAAAGAAGAGACGTCTCGGTAATCATGTTTAATTTTTCCAATGTTCTCTCGATGGCTATTTATCAATTATTATCTCTAATTGGCACCGCCTTTTGAATGCAAAACTTTGAACACCGGTATGGACAGGCATCTTGGCGCAGTAATTTATGATCGCTTAACTTTGAATTATTTATAGAACTCTTGTTTACGTTTTTTTTTATTGCTCTACTGATTAGTATTCTTCGTGTGCCTGTGAACTAGTTTTTAAGCAAGAAAAAAAGACCAATCGTTGCATAAGTTTCTGATTATATAAAATAATAATTGTAAAGTGCCAAAAATTTGACAAAATTAGCAAAAACATGTACCGCAACAGTGCGAATTTCATAACGCCTCAGTAAACAATGGCAGACTAATTGCAGAATTACTTTGATGCGTGTTATTTTTTATACTATATTCATTATGCAGTCTTTTGTTTTTAATCTCAATCAGTCGAAAATCATAAATTTCTTGATGCAACTCAGGAAACTTTCGTTACATTCGCGATTCGGACCACAAGCTTTCTGATGTAATACAAACTGTTCCTGCACCGCGTGTTGGGAAAATTGCTGTTCTTTTACTCACTGAAGTCACACAAGCCAACTTCATAGGACGGCGCTGATCTTCTGTACTCGACGCACTCTTCGCCGGAGATTGAGGTGTAGCACAGCGCCAGCTGCTCCTGTGTCTTGTTGCCAGAGCTGCCCGGACAGCAGGTGAGCGACGGAGTCAGTGTCTCCACGAGATCGTAGGCCAGCAGCTGACCCCAGGCCGGCAGCATCGCCGTGACGTGCGGATGCTCCTGCTTGGCGTTCGTGGTGGCCTGCAGTCTGGTCAAGACGCTCTCCGGAGGCGGCAGGGCGTGCGCTCCTCTGGAGGTTCTCGGCGCTGCTTTGCCGTCAGCGTAGTTGGACTCGAAGAGGCGGAGCAGGATGTCTCCGCGCGCGCCCCAGTCTCTGTGGTTGATGTTGTTGCACTCGCCGGTCGGCGAGCGGAACTTGCTGGGCGGACAGGGTGGCGGACGCTCAGCTTCGCAGGCCGCGGCGCCCGTCTGGTGGATCTGCTCCATGTGCAGCGCCAGACGGATCCGACTCCGCAGGTCTGAGGGGATTTTGTGGGTGGCGGCGCATGGCACCAGCGTGACTAGAGTTATGCTGCAAAGACAGAGAGAGAGAGGGATTTGGCATTAAATAAATTTATTTAAACACTCTCACGTGCTCCGACATTCATTTTTCCTCTATATGAAAAGAGATGCTGTGCTCTCTCTCCATTGATAAAGAGATATATTTATTGCAAAATTGACCTCGAATTGTGCGACAGAGATCACGGGTTATTTTTATCTGGCAAAAAGAATGAGTAATCATTTGCCATCTCTGGTCCAACAATGCGCGAGATCTCTTAAACTTGCAAATTTTGTACTTTCACTCTCATTCCTTCACTTTCAGCATGGATTTCTCCTAATGAATTTTTGGCAACGACAACACAGCACAAAAGCCTCGTGACCACACAAAAATCGTCTCTTTTGTTGTCTAAATCACTGCAATATAAGGAATACAACACATGTGCCTTTTGCACACGTCAAATTAATTTGCTGAATTAACTGTTGAGCGATTGATGCGAGATAATTTAATTGGGCATTATCTCATTTTGAAGATTGGATGATGTGTTAATTGAGGAAATTTACAAGTGTTTCGCGATAAGAGATGCGAAAGAATGTGATAATAATGAATAAGATTTTATTTTCAATTAATTACATTTAATAGACAGCGGATAGGTTCTTAATTTGCTTACTCTACGCGGTGCTGTGATTTTTCAGAGTGCTTTTTATTATCAAATCTTGATTCACATCATTGGCGAGCCATTAATTTGTGGTCACTCTTCTCGAAATTTAAGTCACAAAACTCCAAATAAACAACCGGCTGATATGATGATGATTTCTGTGTAACTTCAACACTTGCCAATAATTGATTTCCAGTGAAAACAGAAGCTGTGAATTCTGAGAAACGCTTTGCGGATTCAAGAGTATAATTTCAATGGGGACTGATGAGTGTTTGCGGGGAAAAATATGTACAAAATAACTTGCATTGATGGTGAATTATGATGCAGAGGCTAATATGAAAATTATTCATGTTATTTTGCAATAAAGAGTTGTAAACAGAGATTGGAAGATGCCTCAATGGTGGGAAAGAATGCACAATAAACTTATTATAAAGTATGGAATATTTGCCAAGATATTTCTGCTATTCTGGAGTATATTGCGCTTGGAAAACACTTCCGAAAAAGGCATTCTAGAATAGAGAGAAAAACAAACTATATAAATGCTGACGGAATGTCGAAATGCCAGCCAATTAAATTCTCTTCCAAGCTGTTGCTCATTTTTTTCTCCATTTTCTTCTGGATTCGATGCAAAATAACTTGCAAAAATATGATTTTCTCAGTTCTTTCAGTGCACTTTTGTGCACAGTTTCATTGCAACACTGCACATGAGAATTTTCTTTCGGCAATCAATTTAGCCGCTGGCTTTTTTTCTCTCTTCAGAATTACCATCTGGGGTTTGTACAACATTTTCCCACGTCGATTTTTTGACATGCTAATCGCCATGCGATTAAATCTTCACGAGATCTTGAGACAATTCCGCTCTGGATTAGTGTGCAAATTATACACGGCATTTGTGCTCGGCATTCCAATGTGGTGACTTAGAAAGTCCGCGAGGAGGACACAGGCCGTCCTCGAGACCTGGCCCGAACCGTTTTTCTCTCTCATTATTCCCCAATGGACAATTTCCTGGCCCCCGCGCAATTGTCTGGCACGCAGAGACAGCGTTTTCTCACACATTTGCGCCGCACCGTGAAGGTTTCCGGAGATGTTGGAAAAGAAAAGTCTCGCGCGCGGTGCAGTTTCCAAAAATCTTTAAGTGGGTCCACCGAAAAAGATTTATAGAAATTCACGGTGACGCCCGTGAACTGGTTTTCACTCTCTTTTTCTCTGCGCGACTCAATTTTTGTCGAATTTCTTGCGCGACACACCTTCTGCGCGTCTCATGCAAGTGCACATAACAGCGATCTTGACATTAAAATTTTAATCGAAACTCTTTTTTCTAGGTCGCCGTGCCACTCGTGAAAATTCAACGTGTGCCGCGGGCTGGCGTCTATTGTGTTTATCGAGAAAAACGCTTGAAAGCTGCGCTGTGGGCTTTTCAAATGTGGACCTTTTGATGGTGAAGTCCTCATGCGAGCGCAAACAGATGAGACAAAAGGCATCTCATTTGTCATTATGACCACTATAAAAGACCAACAGTTGTTTATTTAACATTCTCGCGCCACTGATGAAGTCTTATCGAGGCAATCTTCTGCCATAGAAAAGCTCTTTTTATTATTTTTCCTACACTGAAGATCTACAAAGAACTCTTCTCTCATTAGCAGCGTCACAAAAAAGGTTACTCAAGATTTTCACGTCTGATTGACCACATGGAATCATTACTTAAGCCACAGCTCATGGGCCATTCTTCCCATGAGGGCGGACGCAAAAAGCATCTGTGAAAAATGGATGGATTGAAAGCAAGAAATTCTGGCTCTCACTTTCTCATCTTCTCCATTGTCTTACGTAAAGGTACTTTCTTGTATCAGTGCTTTGCGTCATTAATAATTCCGCTAGAGAAAACAATTTACATAAACCGGCGATAAACATAATTTTTCCACAGGGATTGTCTCATACTCAGGAAGTGTATTTCGGTGTCCGAATGAGTTCAGAGCTTCTCAAATTGACCCCTTTCGCCATCATTTGTCTGAATTGCTATTCATCATTGATTAGCATTCAATGTCGTCTGTATTTATGAGAAATAAAGTGCTGAAAATCATCAGCACGTGATCATTAAATATTGAGATATCTCATGAATTTTATTAGCAAGCGCGGAGAAGATTTTCCATACGGCACTTCTAGAATAAATAACATCTCAATTTGGTGTGAACGCAAAACACCTTAAGCTCCGTATTTAATGTCAGAGACCATGAGTGGGCGATGATCAAACATCCAGTGTGCCAATTGGAAAGAATCACAATTGTCCCTAAACACTTTCTGCCTAAAACACCTGAGAATTTCACATGAAGATGCGGCCAATAAAAGTGTCGATCTGCGGAGGCGTTGGTCATATTGAGTCGTCTGGTCAAGGAAAAATAAATAAGAGATTGAGCAGTTCATGTTCTTTTGGAGGTCAAGCCTGGAGTATTTTCGCTGGAATGAGCACTGTTTGATTGGGCGCGTGACTTGAAGACACTTTTCCAAAGACAATTACTCAACGATGAGCCACTCTTGGAGCCAGTTTATCACCTTCTCCACATCGACAGCAATGTTGTCAACAAACTGGGAATAATTAATATTAATAATACGGCGAATCTCGTGTCTTACTCATTGCGATAGTGTGCGGGGAAGAAAAAGGTGATTCCGCTGAAAAATATTCTACACCAAGAGCTTCATTGCTAACATAATTGGATCCGGGTTCTGTTGAGAATCACCAGACAAATCTGATCACTTTCGATGGATAAGTGAGATCTTTCGATCGGCAAAAAGTGTTTCACTTTCGCTAAAAATTTATGGCATTTGAAGTTGGAACCGCGACTTTCGATTGTTGATGATTTTCGCGCGCAATCTTTCGCTCTCAGCTTCTTCAATGAGGCGCACTTTAAATGAGGCAATTCGTTCCAAGAAATATCCCTTCTCCGCCAACAAGATCGTCATTTTTTTCGCCATATATATATATAGATTTTTTCCACCTGTGCAAAAGGTGGACTCGCGAGGAAGTTGCCTGAATGTCATGTTGTGTGAAGAAATTCACTTTCTATCGCGTCTCCAATAAACCTTTCCCGTCGACTCGCTATGGTGACCACGCTGGGTGGGAGGATTTTTATCTCAGCGAAAAATCATTTATAATTCTCGACACATATATACAAATATTCAATGTCTGATGATTTAAAACTTTGGCACCTTTCACTCCCTCCGCTCTGTGTCTCCGCGTATGTATTTCGGCTATATGTGCAAATCGCTGATTAATAAAATTACCCGCCCAGCAGATAAAAGCGATACAATGGCGCGAATGAGGAAAAAGTGTGGATTTCCATTGTTTAGAGAGCATTCGAAAAAATGCCAAGACGAGGAGGCGAGCAAATGTGATTCACTCTAAGCAATTATAAATTCTCCAAATTATGTGTTGTACTTGCTCTTGACTTTCGAGCGCTCGCGCGCGCGCGCACCTGAGAAAACTCGTTGTGGGCTTTTAAGGGGGCGACTCTGGGGCACTCCCCAGAGGTCACAACGCATTACTCACAAATCCATTTGAGAGACCATCGAAGACTCTTCGCCGGAACACTCAATGGCAAATTTCCCACAGCCATCGTCACTTTTCCGAATCGCCGGACGGACAAATTGACCGATGAAAGAGATCCAGTGAATAAAGTCTGAGTCTATTAGGTGATCCAATGGAAAACCCTCTCTCAACACCTCGAATTTCACACTGAGAAATTACCCGTAAAGCGATATTCTCTTAATGAATGAGTGGGATTTTATACGCATGATTTTCTCTCCATATTTAAAGACTTCGCAAGTAATTAAAGACTCCACAACTGCTATGCTTATTTGCATGTTGAATTGTTTTATCCCAACGATACGGAAAAAATATTAAGATATTTCTGTAAAAAGTAACACTTCTCCTTTGTACACATTATGTTAATATTTTTGCAGAATATCAAATCCAGTCCGATGAAGGTCGCTAAAATTTAGTTCCTGATCGAAAGGATTAAGTGGGTTAAGTGCAAATGTCAGTGGTTTTTGCGTACAATTAACACTATCGCACGTGATGGTTATTAAGCTTGGTTTTTAGCGATGATATTAAGGTATTGAACTTCAGAGAGAAGTATGTTTTGGGGGCGTTCAGAGAGCGATCGCAGTTGCTTAAATCCAGCTACGATTTTGGACGAAGTTAATGAATTACGCAGAATTCATTCTCCCCAACCTAATCACGTGATAATGAGAAGGTTTAGCAGATATGCTGTAATTAATGATAATCTTAATTCAGCCAGTTCAGCGAATTGTTTTGTTGTCAAAACCCCCGAATATGATTTGTGATCACAACAGGGGATTTCCCTAATCTACTTCGCAGCCTCCTGAATATTTGACTTAATGCGAAATAACAATATTTACTCTCCACAGTCACTCTGCGTGAATTATTTGCACTTTCCATTTCATGGTCTTCCGAAGCTTTTGTTTGGCTTTTAAATCGACAAGCAGGAGTTGAACTGAAAGTGAGACTTTTTTTCACTCTCAAACACACAGATGAATTTCGATTGCCCAAGGAATCCAGCCGGTCGGGAGTCTCGCGGAGTTGAGCTGCAGACACACGGCGATTGACGTCAGAGGCAATCATTTATCCGCGAAGATCCACATTCCAAATATAGACAGAAAAGGAAATCGCACGCGGTGGATTCTGAGCCAGTCCTCAATTCACGGAACTCAGCTTTCGGGGTGGATTGTAAGAACGCACAGTGAAGTGTGCTCAAGAGTGAAACCAGTTTTAGGCGTCTTTGACATTTATCAAAAGTTTAAAAGTGGATGAAAAACACTGAGATACAGCAGCAAAATTAATTACATGGACTCCGATGTCGTGATTCTTGTCTCGTGGCTAAAATAGACCAAAAAATTCCGCCTCAGGTGAAACCAATTCTGAGTCGCTGAACTTTTCCACTCGCTGACGCGCGCCTCTCCTTCTCTTTTCTCCTTTTCCTCCCGGCCAATTCCAGACTCCACGAGGTTCTAATTACTGAGTCACATGATTGGCACTCCCGATGCTGACTCTGTGGCACCTTTTTTGCCTCGTGACGCACGAGGCGGAAAAATGTTGAACTTTCAATCTCTGCAGCAGGTTTTGTCGGCCCAAAATGCATCATACAGTTCAATTTGAGGTGATCTTTCACGAAATTGTGCTTTTTCAGGCGAAATACAACAATTTGCTCAGCTTCACACTGGCACATGCGAGAGGGCACGATCGAGGGAGAGAGAGAGAGAGAAATTGTGAAATCACTTGAAGCATCCTTGAACGGAAAAATCTCTGTTGATCGGCAATACTTCTCAAATCGAATTACTGATTTTTTCTCTCTTCACGCATGCAAAGTTAATACAAATTTCCGCAGTTTTCCCCTCTCCAATTCTGCCGCAATTGCTGAAAAATCCACTGTGAAAATGAACGCTTTTATTGAGGCTTTTTTTTTCCTCACTAAAATGTTTGCCTGTGCACACAAAATCGTCCCAAATTCGTTTTTGGGTGAATCATTGCAATGGTTTTTGCATTGAAAGTGAGTAAATAATGTAGACTTTTGAAATACACTCACTTAAATTTCGACAGAGATTTCTGTTTTCCCATTTTTATCTATGCTAAATTATTCAGCTTTATCTCAACGACAGGTTTAAGAGTGGAAAAATCTCGCATTTTAATTTACTTCCTCACTATATAAATTTTTGTCTAAAATTCACTCAACAATTCCCAATCAATTATAAGATTAAAAAATGCGGTCAATTTTTCGCGAAAAAATGAAACACTGCAATTTAGAGAGAAATTCAATCAAAAGATGCACAGAGAGAGAGAGAGAGAAAAATATCATTTAAAATCATGGCCATTCATAAAAGTGCAAAAATTCATTAAAATTCACCAACAGCATTCTTAAGACAATGTTGTAAATAATTCATGAATTCATATAAAAAGTCAACAGACTATTCTCTTTTCCCGCTGTTGTGTTAAGGAGTTATGCCCGTCTTTTCGAGAAGGCGTCTTAAAATTCATGTCATTATGTCAAGAGCAGAATTATAGAATTATGGTAATCCTCATGTGGATTAAACCCCAAGTAAAAACCTGATTTATCAGTTCGGAGAATCGACAAGTCAAATTCCGCCAAAAGATGCCATTGAGATCAAAGTTTGATATGAAGAAAAACATTTAAAGCGAGAATGACGCGATCGTGATTATCTCTATGAAATAATTTTTTTTACACAGAAATCTCTTCACAAAATCTTCTTTCCATTTTCTTCATCTTCTTGGGAACAGATCGAAAGTTAACGAACTTGTGAAAGAACGATAATTGCGTGACTTTTATTGTAGAGGAAGCACTTGAACTTACTTGTCTACATTGTCAATCATCGTGTCTTATTACTGCTATATCATGGCAAATAAATCTTCATGACGGGCCAAAGTGAGAGGCCATAAAAATTTGGGTGTTAAACGTCCACTGGATGAATGAATGCGACGTCAGTGTGTTAATTACCCGCTATTGTGGTTCAGCAATTGCTGTATATTGCAAGAAAAAGAATGCACATTGCGCTTCCTCAAGGAGGCAAAAGTATAAATTTTGCTCAGGCAATCTTTCCATTCAAATCAATAGTCAATTACTTGAGCCATACATAAAGAGAAACTGTCCATTTACCCGCTGAGATTTCTTTTTCGCTGCAATTGCAAAAGCCATCGGATAAGCACGAATTTTATTCGAATGTTTTTGTATATCGCCGCTATTTTGTTTTGCCGAATACCCGTGATTTGCGAGGTCGCAAGAGTGCTTCTGTTTCGGCCGTGCTTTATTCGATTTCAGACGGTCACCGTTGGAATTTACGCGGTGTAATTGCGCGCGGGGGAGTCACTCACGTGTCCCTCACCGCAATTGTGCAGAAAATGGCTCAGTGTGTTAATGGCTTTGGATGGAGCATCGATGGGAGGGCGGGAAAAAAGAGGCGCGTAGAGTGACGATTTGCTCATAAATTATGTATATTACACATGAATTATAATTGCACCATCCACGTGATGTAGGTGACACTATCGCGCATGATTGACGCCCAATGTTGCAATTCTGTACGCTCTTTGCTCGTGGTGGTTGGAAAACGCGACGAGGGCACTAATTGTTGTACATAAAGACTATCATCGATAGTGTCAACATGAATCACGATGAAATTTCATGAGCAAAAAGGGAAATCTTCCGATGTTTGGGCTCCCCAGAGGTGTCATCAGCGAACAATCTTCTGGTTGAGCAACAATTTCATGCATACACGTTTCCACTCAATTATCATTGCGCGATTGCAATTGACGACTTTCGGAGGCTTCACATCAAGTTGCAAATGGTATTTCATCACGAAGACATCCTCCGCCGCCGCATATTATTTAATTATACACTTTTTTCCACTGTCTTCATGCTGCTTTTTACCGCAAATGCACTAAAACCCCACTGAGCAATTTATCAATTATTTCCTTTCAACACCTTTTACATGGATTTCCCACTGAGAAATTGGTCGGTTTTATACTGAAGCTAATTTTTGCTTATGGGACACTGCAAAAGATCAAGGGAGGCACATTTTGAAGCTCACTTGTACTCTATTTTATGCATTGTCAAATAAATCTGTCAAAGCGTAGAACAAAATTGAATTCTGATTTACAGCTCCATGCAAATATTCTATCGTCATTTACTTCCATGAACTTCGGTGTACATTTGCAGAATCCACTGCGCCTTCCCTTGACTGAGACGAATTCTTCATCTCGCGAGACAGCCAGGAGATCTCTATGTGTCTAAGAATATGCAAATAGTTGTGTGTTTTTCTGAAGCCAGAGCAAATATATGTCTCTTGGGCGGCTTTTTTTTCTCCCGTGTCATTTCAATTCCATCCCAAGACATTCTATTTCCAATGGCAGTTGAAGCCGGTTTCGTGATGCAATAATTTTGGCCAACATTTCAAATATATCAAAAACTTGCCTCCACCTCTCAAACTATATGTGGTCGCAATGGAAATCTCGAGGGTGTGTGTTGGTGCTTTTCACGCGGCTTAATTGCCACTTTTCAGCTGCAGTGCGAAATACATTTGTGGAGAAAAAAGCGTAGAGTGATTGAGTTGGGAAATATGGGGGAAAAATCCTTCAAAAAAAAAGCTCATCTGATTGAGAATCTTTTTCCTCTCTCACTAATTTTTCCTCTCTACCGAGACTTTTCCTCCTTCTCAAGTAAACTTCGTGTGTTGGAATCTTTATGCAATGCAGATAATCATGTGTTCAAATTGTAAATAGAGATTGCTGGTGTTCTTCTTTGGATGTTGCTGTGTGACTTTGTTGGAGGTGTGTTTGCATGTGTTGCCAGCAACTCGAGGCAATATTTCATACACAATACACCTTTGTTTCAACAATTTATAGGCATTTGCAAGACATATTTCTTACACTCCGCCATCGCATTGCTGGATTTTCGCTTCACCTCCAAAGAGAGTGAATTGAATAACACCACCAGCCACGACACATGACTGATCCACTAAATTTTCTTCCTCTTCCACGGACGCGCCGCGAGAGGAAGGGACGCAACACTCCTCCACACATTTATGGAGTCACTCGAGTGCGAAGTGCACGAAAAGCGCACACAAATTGCATGCTATCGCCATAGGATTCCGCGCTTAATATTTGGGTCGTTGTGTTAAATAAGGTGATACATAGACATATGGTGGGAAAAATCAACGAAATACAACTTACCAAGATAGAATAGTGATGCTCTTGAGAATCATCTTTGCCTCACTGCTCAGCGTTGTGATTCGAATCAAGCACAAAATGCATAAAAGATTTCCAAGTTCGGGAATTGTGTGTTCCAGGGGGTTTCAGGTGTGAGTTTAGGAACACATAACGCGTCTCACTTTAGCACCCGATGAGGATCTGTCGGGAGAGTCCGAGATTAGGGGAAAGGCGGCCCAGGGAGTTCTTGAGAGCAGGAAGAGGTGTGCAATTTCACTCCAGTAATTTTTACGACTCGGTTTCAGTGCATGTCAGTCTTATGATATTATATATGCCATAAAGAGCAGTCAAGTGATGAGTCATACTATCACTTGGCCATTTCATAATGCCACTCAAGACCTTTCCCACCATCTGATTGCAAACCGAGTGAGGGTTAAAGGCCCCTAAACGTGATCACAATGTCTCCTCGGCACTTTATATGCAAATAACGCGGTGTGTATCCCGAAAAAATTTGCACTCACACTCGCTGACGAGGAAGAAAGAGCTGGCGAAGGAAAGTGAGAAATACTTCCGGTCAATAAAAAAAACCCGCCTCCCCAATAATAGATGTTTTGTCACTTAATGTTTCGTGCAAATCCAATCAGCCAAGATATAACTGGCGGTGTTAATGGCCAGTGAGACTTGCGGTGAAAACTCAAATAAAGAGCCAGTGTAGATGATAAAAAGCTCAAATTTCAGCGCACTTGGCCATACAATTGACGTGCAAATGAAAATTTCTCAATTTACAGCATCTCACCAGGTGCGAGGTGGAGCTCTTCATAAAAGCCATCCCAAACGCATGTTGTTTCGTGAATAAACACCGTTTTCGCTCACAAACCCGGATCTGGCAGTGAGGGGACGATTTTTTCGAACTCCATCTCTTTATGCGACACACACGCGCGCAAATTCCCCCCCGCGCCGTAAGTTTTCCCGCGGACGATTAAATAACATCATGAAGAATTATCCGTGAGATGCTAAAAGACTAAATATTAGCGGGTTTTTGTGCACACACACCATACAATTAAGCCAGCACAAATGGCAACTTTCCTCTTTCAGTTGGAATTCACTTTTTGGACGTGCTGCCGCGATGACTCTTGAGAGAGACAACTTTTGCATAAGATCTTCCGAATATCTTGCACGGCCACTTTAATATCTTGTCTTCGGCAACTCTTTCCACTCGCACATCAGACGGTGGGCTCTTGGGGAGGGAGGGAAATGGCTTCTTTCCTGCTTTCCGAAGGCTCTCGAGAACACCCCTCTCGCGAACTTCCTGAATATCTCAGCACTAATCTTCACTCTCACAGTTTTACGAGATTATACGTGTTCACTTTATGTATATCAACTGGCGGAGAAACGATCGTTTTCACCTGGAAATATCGACTGGTGGAAATTGAGAATCCCTGTGACAAAATCCTGCTGGAAAAGCGCACCGAATCTCACCGTGGAGGCGAACAAGCGCTCGTGCCCAAGCGGGGAGCAATTGAGCTGGAGAAGCAGAGGTGAGAATGTGTGTTGGGAGCACAGAATCGCGAGAGAAGAGAACAAACGCGTCCGTATCCGTGGAGCATCGATAGCTGACTGGTGTGTAGAGACTGAAGTCGTCTGAGCTATACTGAATATATAAGAGAAAGTTTATTGTGAAAGGAGTCACGCGGTTGGCCTCCCCGGACCGTCCTCACTCACCTGGCCCGCGTCTTGAGGCCTCCACTAACACACCATTTCCACCTGCGCGCGCGCGTTATTTTTCATCCAACACTATTTTTGCCTCTCTTTCGCCCGAGCGCCGAAAGCCACTTAAGACGCGCTTACATAAACATCCAGGCAGTGTTTTCCCAGCGAAGATCCGCCGCGACCGCAACTCCTCAAGATGATCAGTGGACAGAAAGAGGAAGAAATGCGCGCTGAGCATTCCGCAAATCACCATTTAGGTAAAATGAAATTGAAAAGAGATGTACAAACAATCGAGACGCCACACGACTCTGGCCATTCAATGGGCAATCCATTGGACGATGTAACAAGGGTTTTTATCCATGTCGCCGAAGATAATGCTCTCTGGCTGCTAACCAGCAAAAACAACACACCAAAGAGAGATTCTACTATTTCGCGGAATATTCACTTTGTTTGGGGACTTTTTCTGCGCAAGCAATCAAAGTTGAACAATGGTGAATGGAAGTTCAACCAGATTGTTGATGATAAAGAATGTTGGCGGCATTTTTGGGGGTTATGAGAAAATATGGGGTTTTCTTCCATGAAACATGCAATGCGGAAGGGCAGAGATAAGTAACTCCGAGGAAGGAAAGGAAGCCCCAAAAGAAGTGCTGTAAGTTCAGAACATTCTGAAGTTTATATTTAATTTAGAATATCTTATGTGGGAGATTTTACAGGAAAGAATAAGGTTTAATTTATACATGTATTATCATATAACTTTGTAAAGAAACACGCCCTAATCTGTTCCTGGTTCCTGGCTAATTCTGCTCTCCTCTCTCTCTCTCTCTCTTGTTCTCCCTCTGGAAATTTCTATGGACTTTCTAGTAAAATGAGTGGCAAAAATAATTTGATTTGATGAAATTATGAAGCTAAAGTGCTAGGATAATCGCAAATCAATTATGACGTTGAAGAGTTTTACTATTTACCACTTAAGCTGTAAATACTTAAGCTGTAAATGCTTCCTTATCATCAATTGAGATGCGTGAAATTATAATTGTAGTGTGCAGAAGAGAATGAAGCAGCATATGACAGTGATTGAAATATGATATTTGTCGTAGAAAATATCTACTGATTTACATACAACATGACTGTTGTAAATCGTCTAAGACGACCTCTAGACACTAATGAGGATTCGTCATGACTAATTTACCGCCAGTCCAGAATAAATGGCAGTTTCTTGATCGTGCTCTCATCTATACCACTCCCAACTCTGCGTTACCGCACTCGCTGGCATTTTTACATGAAAATTCTGCAGAAAGCGAATGTTGATGATTTTGTAAAGTGAAATAAAAAAGCATTACATCTTGCAAATGAGATGATTGACCATGAATTCCATTTTGCATCAAGACGGATGTTTTTCTGCGATTCACTCTCCGACAGTTAATTAGTGGTTGTGAGCATAGGAAAAAAAAGAATCACGAGTTTCAGTGAGGAATCTAGTTCTATTGACTGAGCAATTTGGCCATTTGGTCATTTGGTGGTGTGGCGCCAAAAATGCAAAATAGGTCAGAATCTCGTGATCGTTGCCATTTGTCAGCCCGAGCAGAATTCTCTCGTGATGTCACCGGAGATTAATGCATTTTTCAACCCGGATTCTTGGCCAAGAAGTGTCGTAGGAGGGCAACAGCGAGATACTTTTGTGGAACTCGTTTGGAGGCTGGCGAAGGCAATAATATGGCTAATGGCCATCCTCCCGGATTTTCACTCTAACGATCTCGTGATCTTTGGCGGACGCCAAAAAGTGCCATGATCTGCTTATCATTTTATAGCCCCTCGCGGGGTGTCATTAATTTTGGGGAATAAAAGAACTTATTCGTATTCTCCGCACACGCGCGCAGAGGAGAACTCTTCGACATGCCATCGAGCGGATTGTGCAATGTCTGTCCCAAGTCTCTTCACTTTAATCACGATCTCTAATCGCGACTTTATGTATTTTTTCCATTTCATATTTCTTCAACTGGCGCGCGGCATCCTCGCTATGTGTGGTCACATGAAGAGCTGGATTCCACGATGAAATGCATCACGAGGACGTGAACATTTGGCACGACACGGAGTCATTGACACATTTTCAATTGAGACCAGTGACTGATCGCCCACTAATTGATGTCCATCGCATCCTCGGTCCAGTGCAAGTGGCGAGATCATCGCGCTGTCTCCCGCGCCTCCCGCGGCGATATATCGCCCATTTGATCGCCTCGCGGAGACCATCGCGTCTCACGTGACTGAGTGTTGGTAAAGAGAGGTCTGCAGAGTGTGTTAATATTTCGTTGAGTCGTGTGACTTCAGAAATCACATGACTCCACGCTGCCTTTTTTCACTCGATTCACTCGGTTTGGTGCTGATCGCGCGGTTGGCAATCACAGACAATTCCGGGCAATGTAATAGATGGTGAAGAAGTGGAGGAATGGGAAGTGACTGATTCGCAAGATGACTGTATACATATTTGCTAATGTATTCTCTCAGCTCAATGCCAAGCACAGATTTTGAGAAAACACCTCTCCAAGTGTGATCCTCCATTGTTACACAAAAAAAAAACACACCAAGCTCTCGAGTGGGAGGCTTGTTTATCATGTGACTGTCTTTTTTGCCGCAATCTCTCACCACTTCCATGTCAATGAGGACAGCCGCCAATGTCCTGGTAAGCATTGGGAAGCTAAACACTTAGCGGATTCCCGTGTTGACCAAACGGAGGTTTCAACTTATGTGCTCGTGTGAGAGATAAATGGGCCGATCCTGGCGGTACTGCAATACCAGGCCAACCCGCGGCAAAGGTGGAGCAAGCCCCTAGCACTTCGCCAAGCTCCAAAAATCAATTTAACAACATTGTCCCTCTATGAGGGATCTATTAGGTGTTAAACTAATAAGAACAGATACTACACTTTGATCTTAGCCGTTAGGCCGAGAAGCGATAACAATTCCCTCGCAAGTGACTTCTTATCAGTCAGACGAGAGAGTGTTGTGAGCATGAAGTATACAGTGAAGAGGAAATTCATCTGTCTAACAGCTTTTCTCAGGCATACAATATAAGATTTTCCCTAAAACCTCTTTTGGCGCTATTAAGTAATGATCAACATCGTATTCTTAAAGCTTTGCTCCTGAGTTTTGCTCTACACATCATTAGGAATCATTCACCTCCCAAGTCTTAAGCTCATTCTACACGTTCTGCCTTCACCACTTAATTTCAATATTATCTAATATTAATTCAACAATCACGACTAATCACCTCCACTTGAGGTCCTCTGTAGTTGTTCTTTGTAGTCCCACGTCAAGATAATTCTCGTGCACAAGTGACATCAATGCGCAAACAAGAAAGGAACCCGAAATACTTTCAAATCGCCACGTTTTTATGCCACATCCAGTGACTAAACAAGAACCGCCACGATCTAGTTTATGGAGCTGAAACGCTAATCTCTCAATCTATGATGTTTATTCACAAATAATTCATAGTTACTTGAATTACTTGCGCAAATTGTCTGCACCAACCGAAGCGAATCACTTCTGTGTTGACGAAAGTGGTAAATTTTCAGATTCCTTGACATGAAAAAAACATATGAGAAACAACTCTTCATGGAGAGCAATAAAAATCGCTGTAATCAATTAAGAGCAATTTAGTTAGTGTCTTCTTCCCTTTTGTAACGGAAGAGATTTCAAAACAGTGATCTTGATTGGGAAAAATGACTTGTTTTGCCCACTTTCAGGCAATTACGATTTGGGTTAAGATCTTGGTGTGCTCGCGATCGCAGCGATCGTGTCTCAGCTGGCGAACTGAAGGCAGAATTATTCAAGTTAGTAATTTACATAAATGGACTTTGAATTTAATTCCGAGCGATGGCTTTTTCGGCCGTGTCTGTGGCTCACAGTGCGGAGCTGCATTGTCCCCTACAGAGAATTCTTGTTCGACCCGCTGGGGGGCGACACTCACAATTATCTTCCGCGCCACCTCTTCAGCGCATCCTCACCACCCCTTGGCCTTGCCCATCAATTTCCCCAGTCCGGTCGAAGGGGCATGAATTGTGCCAATGCCAAGTTGACACTGTGACGGTGGAAAGTGCAAGAAATTGCCGAGGAATTTATTGATCTTTAGCACCACAGCCAAGATCCTTGGCGATGTTTACTCGTTCGTGTCTCGCTTTTGCAGCGAAAAAATATCCCCATGACAATTTTATGGGCATTGTCTCATTATACACAAATTAGGAAGAGTCATTCCATCTAAATTAATGGTGACATGAGGCATCCAGCTGAGATACCTAATTTAAATACTTCATAATCTTGAGCATGCGGCGACAACAGTTTGATTATATCACGTTAATGATAATTCAGTTATCTATTTGCGGATGAAAGGCACCGATGTTCGGGGTCACGCACAAATTTCCCATATCTCTGCTCTCTCATTTGGGAATTGGATCTCATAATTAGTGTGAATTGTGACTGGGCTGATATTAAATTTTGCCGCGAAATCGTAACCATAAATGACTAAAAATTCTGGCATTTCAGCTTCACAACAGTGTTGCTGCGATGGGAAGGTGAAGAGGTGAAGCGCGCCAAAACGAGAGTGAGAAGAGTGCAAGAGTCAGAGTATATTTGGTGTCCATAAATTATCGAGGCAATCGCCTCGAGTATTATTTATTCCAATATCGAGATGCTCCATCAAATTTTTAATCAAATTGTTATGCACAAATTGATCGTATATTTGTTTAGCATTATCCTTTCTTGTTGTTCTCAAGACATTCTTATTTATATGCGATTGGCTCACTTCGAACCGCAGGATTACACTGGAGAGCACGAGTATGCAGTCAGATGATAGTTTCTCATATTTGCCACAAAAATCTATATTGTTTGCTACCTTTTGAGCAAAATCGACAGGGATTTAACTCTGTTAAATACTTTAAAAATAAAAGAAAGCGCTTCTCTCTCTTTGACAACTACAGAAAAGTATCGAAATTAGGGAATTTATTAATTTCACACAAAGACAGGAAGAACTGCAGAGCCGCAGCGTGTCTAGAATTGCGACGGGAAGTGTGGTCATACATTACGCTATTTAGCTCCGCTCCTTGTCCTTTTCGTGGTGCCCTTTGCTGGGTGGACGATCGTCATGATCAACACTGTAAGTTGGTGTTGCTGGTTGTGAATGGCGCCTCGATAGTCATTTATTAGCGATCGCCATAACCTGTCAGTTGCGGAGGGTGAAGAATTATTAAAATTTTACCATTCCTCGAGTATTTCACTCATTCTCGGCCCTCTTCCACACTCGAAATTGAATTCATATATTTGTTTTCACGTTGTGTGCCATTTGTCTGCTTCTTTTGTCGTTCCTTTTGGCATCTCTGCGCTTCCTTCTTGCCTGATTGTGTTCTCCGTCTCGCTCTGCTCATCGAAAATTTGCCAATTCTAATGACTTTTGCCTACGCCGCGCCCCACTCGGCGAAGAAGGTGATGGTCTCAGTTGGGGGAGACCCGCGACTTTGTTACAAAAATGTATATCCAAAAGGCAGCTCGAGAGCCCAGGAAGGAGCGTAAAAAACGCAAGAGCGAGAAATATTGCGATTATGTGTACGAGGAGAGAAAATATGGAGGGAAATATATTTTCAGTATTAATGTGTTCGTCTTGAAAGCTTCAGCAATAATTTAATAATAAATCATGGAGTCTTTAAACAAAGATAATTGAATCTGTCCATCAGACTAATGAGAGTTAATTACCAACGTTGTTGGTGGGTATGAGAATATTAAATTAATTCCATTCCTTTTTCTCTCTCGTTGGATACCTTTTTTCTGGTTACCTCTTGCACTCATGCCTTCCTCCTTTTTTGTCCATCGCCTCACCTCAGCACTGCCTTTGTACTATTCCCCATCAGGCACTCTTGGCGGAGCCACTTTTTCCACAAGTGCGCTATTCCTCGCCTGCAATGGACGATAACCACTCAGCCGACAGCCTCAATTGGCCGAGTGTATCAACAAATTGGCACGACGCAGAGATTTGCGCGCAAATATGGAAGGACATTAATTCCTCTCCTCGTGAGACTCTTTCTTGTGTGTGCTCGTGTGAGAGATAAATGGGCCGATCCTGGCGGTACTGCAATACCAGGCCAACCCGCGGCAAAGGTGGAGCAAGCCCCTAGCACTTCGCCAAGCTCCAAAAATCAATTTAACAACATTGTCCCTCTATGAGGGATCTATTAGGTGTTAAACTAATAAGAACAGATACTACACTTTGATCTTAGCCGTTAGGCCGAGAAGCGATAACAATTCCCTCGCAAGCGACTTCTTATCAGTCAGACGAGAGAGTGTTGTGAGCATGAAGTATATGTTACTGGAAACTCTATTTTTAAAATGACTGCATTAGAATTTAGCCATATGAATTCTTTTCGCAAATATTCCTTGTATTGTTGAAAAATTATTTTATTATGATTTACCCTTATTACCGAAGCCTGCGCAGTGAAATAATTAGTTTCCCGCGTTTTCCGTATAAAGGCAGATTTTGAGGAATGTTCTGAAAGTCAGTGACAATTTCATGTCTCGTCTTCTGTCTTTACGCCCTTAAGCAATTAAATCCCCAATCAACGATCGCACAAGCCTCTTCGCAGCGTAATTAACACAGCAAGGAAGACTGTGCCGAAATATTCTTCCGGTAACATTCAAGGCACCTTGACGTCTTCCGTTACCTTCCTCCTCGCAAGAGTGTGCAAGATGAAAAATGATCATGGCTGCAAGAGACAAGTTGATGAAAAACTCATTGAGATTTTGACGAGTTGGACCAACAGCCTCGCGCGCAAGTATCCATCATGTGGACGAAAATCTCTCCCATGTCAGACCCACCGCACATTGAATTAATGTTGCAATATTCAAATCCCGGCCCTTTCGCCCGGGAGTTGCGCTGAAAAATGATTTGGGCAGTTTGGAGAAAAGTCCGGCATGTCTTGCAATTATCCCAGCTTCTCAGGGAAGGTGTTTGCTGTAAAATTGAATAAGTATAGCTTTTCATTAGAGATAATTATAGGACGATACGGAACGCCTTTGCATCAGTGAAAACATAAATAATTTCGCCCCACTTCGGAGCATTTGGAGTGGCTTCTTGGGGGCTCTCCGGCGAGAATACAAATGATCGCGAGAAACATGCTCCATTGACGATCCTCGTGGTGAGTTGTTGATGCTGTTTCTCACTATTTTGAGAGATTTTGATGTGTGGCGAGGCATTTTTTTGTGTTGCCAGCATTTATTAATAAATTATAACTCATATCCATCATTTTAATTGTGGCCCCGGAGGAAATCTCGCTGATTGTTCATCGTTATTTTTACTAGTGAGATCGTAAATGACTCCTCATCGATTGCCTGTGATTCATTTAGTTTGTCTTTTACAAGGTCTTTTAGCCTCAATTTTCCTGTATTAATTTGCCACCAATAAAATTACATATCTCCCATTTTATTTGTCCTCCTTCCTGAGGTGTCGATAAAATTAAGAATTATTAAAATGAGTAGTGAATTTAATTTGTCCGCCAGCATGATTAAATTATATAGAGTGTGTGAGTGTGTGTAAATTTTATCGATTTCGGCAAAAAGTGTTGAACAAATAGAGGCAAAATCTGTCATTAATTTCCGAGAAGGTAAGAATCATAAAAATCATTAATAAATCCAGCATAAAAGCCATTGGAGACAATTTATGGTCATGCGAGAGTTCTCTCTTATTAATTTGCGTCCCCCTCTCCGTCAATATTTATGCTCTTCCTGCCCATAAAAGGTTCACAAATCAATCTACATAAAAGTTTGTGGAGCATCAAGTCGTGAGACAATTGTTGATTGGCAAGAAACGGACGTATTTATTAAATATTTTGATATTCATTAGAGCACATCAATTTTCTCCGTTCTTAATTTCTCGCATTGGCCTTTTTTTCTGTGCCCCATTTGACGTCCCTAAATTAAATTTGGGAACCTCATCCACGATCAGTCTTCAAACAATTTTATTGGCCTCTTTCTGCTCCTCTCGGATCGCCTTTTCCACCTCGTCTTTGGAGGCACTGCTGAGCCTTCCTAATAAATTAACGTTTAACAGAGAACCGCCCATCGCTATATTTCAAAAGTTTATTAATTTAATTTCGGAATTGGATAGAGGCTATTTGCATTTTTAATTCATATTATATTAGATATTCATTAAAAATTAGATTGAGACAGGTCTCCGATGGTTCTTCTTTTATCTTCCACCAATTTTCTTCTCCTTCTCACTTTGGTGCAGAATCGTGTGTGAAATAGCGCATCAGCCACTCGATGCTGCACAACTTTTCACCATGAATTCTCCACGGAGAGCCTGTTTTCTGGTCGTGTCTGTAATTTGTCGGTCGGCTTGAGAGAGAAATCAAGCGAAAAAAGCAAAGAACTATAATTAAACAATTTATTCATTTGGCGTTTTTTCACTCCTCTCTCAATCTCCTCGGTGGGTGAGTCCCGAAAAAAAAACATCATTGAGAAATGAGAAACGACAAAGAAGAGGAAATAAAAGGGATTAATTGGATTTTATTGCAATAACAAACAACAATTCATCTATATTTTCTGTGTACACATTTATTTATCACAAATTGTATACAAAAGTAAATTAACTAGCTAATAAGACCTAAGCTGAATGCATTTTATTCAAATCCACTGTATTTGTGGGCTTTCTTCCTTCCACTTTTTCATGCCTAAATAACACAAAGTATTCTAAGAAAAGATGCAAAAGTTTGAATAGCTTGAAAATGCAAAAATATTACACAACATTTTCAATAAATCAATTTATCATTTGGACGGAATTTTCCCTCACACAGCGTACAATTTTCCACCACTCTCACTGAAATCGGAGCTTTGCTCAAAGGGGGAAATATCATGACTACAGAGGATTATTACATTTGTTTATCGCCACCATCAAATCCAGAGATTGATCGGAATTGAATTTTTACGATGGAATGAAATGAGCAATTTATTAATTATTTCGCAACAACTGTTGCAATTGGAAGAGAAAAATCTCCAATCTATTTTTTTTTCATGTAATTGCTCTCCAATCGCGCCAAGACATAAACTTTATTGCTGTTCTCTCGATTGTTTTCTCATACTCACAATCATCATAAATTGATAATAATCTGTGTGTGTTGGAAACTATCTATTGATAGGTGATTTTTCAATTTGATTCAATTACACAATTGATTCGCGTAATCGCCACCCCAACAATACGCACATGGCGAAAAAAAAAATTCCCATTTCACCTAAACTAATTGAATCAACCATTCGATTCCGATGAATGATTTTTCAGGAATAAAGTGAGAGAGAGAGATAAAAACACACGCGCGCAGCAGAATAGAATCGAAAGGGAGAATCGCGAGAGAAATCTGCAATTTTGAGTAATTGGCAAATGCTAATAATGTTTCGCGTGACCAGGATGTATAAAAATGGTTGTATTTTTTTCCATTTACACTATCGTCTTTGCTGGTGGAAAAATCACTGAGGGGCTACACGCACATTTTTCACTCTTCTGCCTGGTCAATTGGGAATGCACAAGATGCGGGCTCTGGCTCCCCTCGTCTCACACTTGGCAAGGTGATGAAAGAAGGTGAGGAGGCACTCAAGATCGTGAATCAATTGGATTCCCTATCAAATACACCTCGCCTCGCAGGGGAACAGAGTTGGAGGAAATGCTGAAAAATGCTCTTACAGATAAACGATAATGACTTCTGCCCGTGGCAATGGGTGCAACTTGCATGTGTGCCGTTTCGAATACAATTGAGAAGCTATTAGAAATTTTAATTGGCTCTCTAGCCACGCCAAAGAGGTGCAAAATTAATCTAGTAAATTCTTTCAGACCCTAACGTGAAAGGCCAAACTTATTTCGAAAAAAAAACATGGAGTGACATAAAGAAATCTTATCTCCCATCAATGGTATTTCCAACTCTGTCCTTAATCCTTCGCGTATTAACTTATGATATCACTGTGACCATTCTGTCGCAGCATCTCGAGTCTCAGCTCATGCTCCCTCGCCTTCAGGCGCAGTGTCGCAATGGACGACGACCTGCGATCTTCAGACACACCTGAGCCTCCCGTGGACGCCGTGAGGCCGGACGTTGGGGGCGAGAGCGGCGGCGAAACGGACGACGCTGAGCTTATGAGTAAGTCTGGTGACTTTCCAGGAACAGGCACCGGCGGTGGCGGCAGCGGGGGTGGCTGGTGACGCTGGGCGGCTGATATGTTCGCCAGGAGGGTCTGGAAAGATGTGCCTGGAGTGTAGAGAGCACCAACTCCGGGCGGCAAGATGGGCGGCGGAGGAGCTCTGCAATAAATCCCTCTCGTTACTCATCGAGACTCCGGGGCTAATTTGCCTCGTGCTCTCACCTGTGGAACTGATGGAGGTAGCCTGGAGGAATCACTGGACCGCCCGTGAGGTGAGGATAGCGAAAGGCAGCCAGACTGGCGGCGTCGAAGGGCTTCCTGAGGTTGAAACCCAAGTGCGTGAAGGGATTCGGAGGTAGCGATGGAGCCACTGAGGTTGCAGACGGAATGGACGTGCCACCGCTCAAGTATGGATTGTAGGGATGTCCCTGAGGTCCGACTTTCTCCTGCTTTCGCCACTTGGCGCGACGATTCTGGAACCAGACCTGCGGCAGAGAGAAGATCTCATTAGGAGTCCGCCTCGATGCAATTATCACATTGCGCTCATTTGCGCCAATTGCCACTGATGGCTCACATTTGTGTGTCTCTAGGTCTGTTTTTGCTGATGCCTTTCCCTCACGAGCCCACCGTAGAATATTCTTACAAATTGTTAGTTAATTATTTCTCAAAAGTAGCTAATTGTATACTCGTATTTAATAATATCTCTATCTTCTCGCAGTTTTTTCCTCTCATTTCGCGTCTCTCCTTCATCTCATCATAACGCAGTTTGTATATTTGCATTTATTGCTACGTGATGTGCATGTGTAATATCTGCAGCAGCCATAGTGAATGATCTTTCTCTCTCTTGCTCTCCTAAGAAGCTCTGCCTCATCTATACAACAATTTATCCTAACGGCGATAATTAATGAAATTACTTCAACGGAATTTTTCATCTCTTAACTCACTTGCAGATCATGCCTCTTTACAATATAATACCAGCAACATTGTGTAAATTAAATACAAATTTACCGCCTTATTTATCTCTGCTCTCTTGCCTTCCTGGCCAATGCCATTTCTTGTGTGTGTGGCTCTTCTCACTCTTTCTCGCACTGCGCGATATTATTGGCATTGTAATGACTTCCATTGAAGTGAAATAAATTTATTCCGCCGAACACTTAGCCATTATACTCCACTAATACAAATTGCATTGAGCAAATTACTCTGATTTTTATCGACGAAATTAATTGCGGAAAAAATTCAGCAATATGCATTGTCAATCATGCCTGTAAATACCTCCATTCACCGTTCAACATCGTCCTATCTTAATTATGATAAAATAAGTGTTAAACACGGGGTTTCGAATAACCACACGCACAGAGCGAAGATTTGCCCTCCTGTAAAAATTGTCTGCAGCATAAATCGAGTGATCAGATAAGATTGCGGGCCTTCTTTCGCCCACTGGCTGGAGGAAGAAAGGAGCCAACAGAAGAGAAGGAACAAAATTAAAGAGACGCCCCTTTTCTGCTTTGGCCACAAGAATGCGCCTAATATGGGAACCAGGGGGCGAACGTCCGATCAGCCCGGAGGAGCTCTGCAGTAGCGATACAAAGGAAAGTATCCTCGGGGTTTGCGAGACGAGGAGACTTTAACCCCTCGCACAGTAAATCCAAATTAAGGCCTCCGCGCAATATTGGGAGCCTCGAAATTGACCAGAAAACCATCCCAGAGACTTTTTTCACACTCTTGCAAAATATATTGCACCACTGATGGCGAAGATAATCAAATTGATTCCTCTTGTCTTCAATTATTTGCAATTTGCGGAATTTAATCATGCAAATTCCCATCAATGAATTTGCAATTTAATACCATATGCTTATTTACTCCTATCGCCACGCTGGCGTATAGAAATGCAAATTGAACAATGTTAAGTTGCGTTTTCTTTACCCACTCCACCTCCTCCGTGCCCTTCTGATTGCTGTGGAAGAGAAATTTCCCCGCCACTTTCTGGAATATTTTAAGTCAAGACACGTGCAAGAAGTAATTGATTAAAATCGCAAGTCAATTGGGCACCTCTGTGTGCCCCAAAAGTGTGACTACAAATGCACTCTGTCCAAGGTGTTTCCACATTCATCATCCCCTCCGTGACAGTGTATATAAATCCAATTTGCAATTATGAGATTCGTCAATAAGAACACAGCAAAAACCTCGCGTGCTGCGCTCTTTCCCATATTCTATCAAATTCATCCTTCATAGTCTCTCCAATATCAATTTTTCGGACACAATTTTTTCGCCTCCTGCGATCCTCTTTCTCCAATATCAAAAAATTGCTTTTCAATTTCGATTTCTACCCCCCGTCATTCGCCTTCCCTTTCATCACTCTCCGCTCTTTCCCACCCATCATTTCTCATGAGACTAATTTAGCAATAACAATTTCCCGTGTACACATCTATTTTATATATTTTATTCTCCCTCCCAATTCTCCTTTTTCGCCACAGCGCAACTAACTAAATGCCGCCAAAGCGGGCCAGCGAGGAAAATGATCCTGGCCCACGGAGAGAGACACGATGTGCATGAAATTATTGGTCATTATATGGCATTAATTGATGAAATTATAGACTAAAGGCCTTCTTGCATCAAATAAGGTGATTTCTGATCTCATGCGACAACGGAAATTTGATTTAAAAGACACATACAATTACTCGCAGAGCATCTGAGCAACTGGCAAGGCTGCGACCATGGCGATGTGGAAGAGGAGCAAAAACGGAGGATCACTAATTTATTTCAATTTGTGGCAGAGACACGAGAAAGAAAAACGCCACCCAATTGGTTTGTGTGGATATTCCACCCGAAAAAAGTGATTAAATAAATTATGGAAAAAGAAACAATCGAGAAATTACATTTCCGGATGTGGTGAATTGTTTTTCCTCCTTTCCTGCCCAACGGACTTTTTCTCCCCTGTAGATCGACACTTCCTTTTGCCATTTTTTCTAATGTGATTTTAAGATGATGATAACTTTTGGAAGGATATGTTTACACTTCAAATTACACTGCGATTATTTCCATGTGTTTTTCATTGCTTCTTCTTGAACCAAAATGGGGAAAACTGTGTTGGTTTTTGACCTTTTTGGGACGTTTGGTGAAATGGACAAAAATCCCACTGAAAATTCATTTAAAGAAGAATGTTAATTAATTGTTTATGCCCAATTAAAATGTTGCGTAACAGACTATTCCGCTCTTCCCACGATTTCAGTCCATTCAGAACTTTTTTCTATCATCCACTCTCTAGTAATTTCTAATTGAAAAATGATCTCACAGTGTTTCGAAGCACAATTGAAGAAAGAAAAAAACTGGGTGTTGAAAATAAATTCAATGGTAATTTTATTGACATAATTGACTCTCTGTCTGCAATTTCCACGTTATTAATTTATCTCAATCTACCTCTTTCAAAATAGATTTCCTCCTCTCGCCGTGTGCCTTCTCACTAATCTAATTCTCTATACTCAAAAGTGAAATTATGCCTTGGATATATTTACTGTTGAAAATAAATTCCGATTGCCACCCGCTGTGTCTTTAATAATCAGTTTATGTTATATCAAACAATGATATGAAAATTCTGCCTCTTCTCTTTTCAATGCCGTCTCTCACGCGCCCCGGGAAGAAATCATCTTCAAGGAGGGAATGTGGCGGGAAAAAAGGCCACACCACATCGATGATTGGAGCTTGTTAAAAGGATTATAAATGTTTCAGGCACACACGATACTCAATGGCCATAAAGCCGAACGCATTAAACAGATTTTTAACATCAAAGGGTGAAATGAGACGGAACTGTTGGGGAAATTTATGATCTATTGACTCAGGCCTTTCTTCTCGTCCAGTCTATTTGATGGTGTAAATTTAATTTGCGAAAAATTCCCAGAGATCACATCAATCCTCCATGCGATCAGCATTTGAAAAGACTGGATTCAAATGCGACTCTTTCTTCCAAGTTGCTCGCGGACAAGAAGCGAGTGTAAACAGAAAATTTGGAAGACGGCGTCAGTGACTCTGCACTAATTTCTCCCTGTAATATTGGATTTTGTGCATGGAAATCTCATGAACAACTAATTACATTTCATTATGGAACCATTTAAATTGATTTGTATCACTTTGTATTCCCATCTCACCTCAAATTTACTGTATTTGATCATTTTTACTTTGTACGCACAGAAATTCGTTGGAGCAATAGTTCCAAATGATATGCATCATTTAATTTTATTTAGTTTATGGAGAATTGAGGAACTCTTTTTTTATTCACCTTCCTTCTCCGCATCATTTTTTAATGATTTTCTCTTTTAACGCCTAATTTCTGGATGTGGCATTTTAGTGTGTTTTGGCGGCACGGCGACCAAAAAAGAGATCGCGACAATGGAGCGCCATCGAAATTTTATCCAAATAAACACACCATTTTATTCTAATTCCATTTTGGTTTGTTGAATTTCGCCTGTCACCAAACAACATGCATGACGATTTGCACTTAATTAAATTTCACCCATAAAACCTTTATACGATTCTACGGCGTATGCTTGAGATCCAAGGAGGAACTTTCTTAGCTCTGCGTGTGTGTTTGTGTTTGTGTGAGGAGGAAAAAAAAGCTTGCGCTGTAAAATTGTATAATTATTGGTGATTTCTGCCGCGAGAAGAAAAAGTCCGTTGCCATTCGGAAAATTTAATAGGTAACAGTATGGCAGAGATTAATAAATATGTGTAAAAAGGCAATCATAATTTAAATTTTTAATTAATAGTGATGGATATAAATGAAGGCGGCTCCATGTGGTTTTAGTTGCGAGTGCGCCACATTCCAAGCGAACGCTTCGCTCTTTTAATTTGCCTCCGATGATAGTTAATTAATTCGGCCGGAATCAATCATAAGTTATTGCGGCTTCGCGGCTCACATTGGCATTTGTCCGGAGACGCTCTTCCCATGCCCACATCCTGTGTCTGCAATCACAGCCCGTGACTATTGATCTGCGGACGCGCTGCAGAGCGGCGATTTGTCACAACCCTCTTAAGGGGTGGCCAATCGCCTCTCAAATCTCCATCAGATACAAAGTGGCACAATTTATCAGCCACTAATTGATCACGACACTGACATATATCTTCTGGGAAATTCTGACATTCCTCAGTAGCCAATAAAAGTGATAATCAGAATTCCCAATGAAGATGGATTGAATAAATTTTGTGGTGAAATTCAATCGCCCATTCTGGAGGCACGTGTAATTTCTTTTCCACCATCGCGCAAGTATTTTAATTGAGTACAATTTATGCCTTATTTGCAAAAAAGAAGGATAAACCTACAATCTTCGGAAGCAATTAGCAAAGATATAATTATTCTGCCAACAAAATTATACTCTTTTTTACTGCACAAATGTTATTTACCGAGCACTAAAGCGTGCGACATAAAATTTCTTGAAAAATGGAATATTTTTCAATATCTTATGGAGTCATAAACACCTTTAAAGGAGAATTTTTATTGAAGAGATCGTGTTTATCGATCCACAGTTAAGCTCTGGAGTAATTAATTGATGATTAAATTAAAAGCAGAAAATGCGCTTTTATGTCCGAAATTGATCGCGTTCCTTTCCATTGTGCACTTTTTTTTTTTTAAACTTTAATCCACAATTATGCCCGATGCCCAAAATGTATATAGGATGGAATATCTCAGTAATGATTCAATTTCTCGCATCTCACGTTGTTTTTTTGCAACGCGACGCGCCGTTCGAGCACCACTTAGCATGGTTTTCTAATGAAGGCAGAATGTTGCACCTGTCAAGGACTCATTTAGGTTTCTGATGCGGCGAGCATAGCGAAATAGAGGCAAAGGATAAATTGGAATTCTCCCCACTAATTGCTCTCTCACACAGAACAATCTGTTAATTCTTCAAATTACTAAATTGAATAATCTATCCATCACAAATAGGGTGTAATTAGAGGAGATAAATGAAGGATAAGAGAAACTAGAGAAAGAGAGGCAAGGCAGGGGAGAAAGATACAAGATTCGACCGAGAGACAGAGATGATGGTTAATTTTATGATTAATGAATACAAATTTGAAATGTTCGTTGAAGGCTCTCCGTTTTTTTTTTCTACCTCTTCTCAATTCTCCCCCTCTTGCGTTCTCTATCTACGCAATTATTTGAGCTCTTTACTCAATTAATACGTAACTGGATTAAGCAATTCCCTCCCTCTTTTCCAACGGATCATCCCAGGGTCGATCTGATAGGTGTGCGTGCAGTTTGGAAAACAGTGGAGAGGCAATAGAAATTATTAACAAATATTCATTAAGAGTGTAACATTAGTATTGTGATAAATTGCCGTAAAAATATGAGAAATTAAATTTTTCCTCCCCAGAAAAAGCGTCTCCACACGTTCGATACTTTTGATGGGTTTGTTGGGAATCGGAGAGGAGATTTTTCGGGAGAGACCAAACGATCTGAGGCACTTTTAAATCGTGTGTCGAACACAGCGTGCAACCTTTGTTAATCTAATACGCCTTGGGGGGTTCTTTGTGACCACCGCTAATCACCTGTTGGTCGCCGAAAAATTATGGGTATTTATATTCTCTGGAGGCCAATACCGACGAGAAAAAGCCTGTATAACTATCCCTATAATACTACACTGAGTGGCCAAATTAGTGGTACATTCTGATTTTTCATCTAATTATAGAGCACATCTCACTCATTTGTTGATTGGTTTGACGGCGATGAAAGTGACTCACAGCAATACTCCCAATTATCCCATTTTCACTCCACGACGGCTACACTTCCGCACGAAATTATAGGACACCGGCGAGCGACAAGTGGAGAGTAATTGATTCATTATTTATTCTACGACGAGGTTTTGTCATGGCGCCGCTAGCAGAATTGAGAGATTAGAGTTGAAGAGCAGAAAAGCGTCACACAGCTTTTCACGAGTGGCGGAGCTTTGTCGCTCTTGTTCAACAACACTTGTACATATGAATTTAATATCGCGTGATATTTTGCATTTCATTTATCATACATATCCATGTTTATATTGTGTCAACATATGCACGACTTTCTCTTTGTCATCCTGCTCATTAAGCAAAATAATATGTTTTTGAACAAATTTCCTCCACCTCACGATACACATATGCATATTCCCTGTTATTATACTTATAAATCGAAAAAACATATTGCCTCCATTTCATTTCAAATGCAATTTCCTCTCGCAAGAATAAACAAAACGAGTCCACAACGAGGAGCAAATATGCCGTAATTCCACACTGACTTATCACACATTTAGCATTGGGCGGAGTTAACCTCTATAAGAGAATAATTCCACACTTAATTTGCTTCTATGAAGATGTGCACTTTTGAGCTGGTGGAAATTTGCAATCATAATAACACACAAGTGGACACAGAAGTTGATCTTTATGCAATTAAAATAGTCCCAGTGATGGAAAATAAAAGGATTATATGGCATTGCCTTCGCCCTGCGGCGCATACAGAGCCAGGCAAGATTCAAATGCGAATTAGTGTGAAAAATCTGGAAATGTGTGCACTTTGAAGTAATTCTATTTATTAGCACTTCAGTACGCGCCTCGAGTACATTGGACGTAATGATACATTTAAGCTCTGATATTTCCAGCCTAATGACACTCTCGAGGCACTTGCGCGGAGCAATTCCGCGAAATAGACACCACTGCCGGACGAAGGGGGTGGACTGGAGGGGTGGCGGGCGGCGCAGCGTCTAATTTGCCGGCAAATTAGATTTGTTTCAATAAATGTTATAAAATTAACTCATTGAGTGCTTCCAGCTCGATTGCAAATCGAAAATGTGGCCGAGTGTCATTAAGCACCTGAGGAGAAGGCATGTTGTGGCTCATCAAGAGAGCACAGCATCGGAGAGTCGGAGCACAGGTGAGGAGCTCTATTCAACCTGTCCATCGACACTCTCTCCCCTGCCCAAGACCGCGCGCTCTGTATCAAATGAGCAGCGCAAACACCAACTAACTAACCATGTAAGATCATACGCGAGAGACCCAAGATCGATGAGCTTCGGTGGAATTCAATTACCGATTAAATCGCTGAATGTTTACGCTCTCCGGCGGAAGGGAGTCGAGAGGGGGTCTTGAGAATGAAAATTGAAAAGCGGAAGTGTATCATAATGCAATTGTTGTGCAATAATCTATTAATTCTCCTGCTGTCACATTTGCTCACTCTTTTTCACGCACTCGCGCCATTGATATTTGTTTACCTTCACTCTCGAGTGTGAAACTGATTTTTACAATAAAATATATTTCTCAAATCACAGAATTTAATTGATTTTATGCAGAGAAAATCTACAGGGAAAGCCTCCACGGTCAGACTTATTAATTTCGCTAAAAGCCCAAATTGCATTTTGCCCAGAGATTCGCACTTTATCCATCAAATCTCATGCACAGATTACACCTCAACCGGCATTACGTGTGAATCTCCCAATACGTGTAATTTAATCGTCCCAAGATGCGTGTTCCGTGGAAATTGAGCGACTTTTTCTCCAACTGCACTTGCAATGGAACACAGAATGCGCCTTCAATTCCGCATTATCGCTAAATTCAACCTCGAGTGGCAATTTCTTCAATTGCACCTCTACCAGAGTGGCGAGTGAAGAGGTGAAATGAGAGGAGTTTGCTCAAGAGGATATTAATTAGTGTTTTATTGCCTGAGTAAAGAGTATCTTGCAATCATTTTTCACATAAATTCCCAATTCAATTCACTTTACATGAATTGAAATGTTTCTCTCGTGCTACATTTTCGATGCAGTCACACATTTCAATATGCGTAATTGCGCACTGAGAGGAAAACTTGTCAATTCTGCAATTGATAATCAACGTGTCTCTTTAGCCTCAACCTAAATCCACACACAGACGCGCTAATCTCCACGACCCTATCAGTTTATCAGTGATCCATTTGGAAAAAAAAGAAACCCCAATTTTCGGCCTTTTCTCTCAGTGTCAGAAGATAAAGTAAAGTGCAAAAGGCAGAAATCATGAAAAATTGGAATTGAGTGTGACCTCTAATTTATGCAATTGAGTGTGAGAGAGAGGGAGAGAGAGACGGTGAAGAAGCAGGAGAGGAGGCAGGGATGGATGGACATAATACACCGCTTGTAGTTCGTTTGGGCAGCAACAAAAGTCATAAGTAATAATTTGTTAATAATTTCCCACCGCCACTTTGCATACATATGTTGATTTCTGCCCATCAGCTCACTTGGCAATTATTTAAATAATTCAATTCAATCAAAATTGCAATAAAGCCACGACAGACGGCCAGTGAGAGGCAAGAAGGTGGCAAAGAGACGGCCAACAAAGGGCAAAACACACGAAGAAACAATCTTGACGAATTGTCTGTTGATGCCAAGAGCTAAAGAAATTGCTCTTGGGCTTTGTACAAACCAATTGACTGGAATCTCGGACTGCGCTCCGTTTTGGGAAACATTTTTCCACTCGCTGTGTGTCTCTTAACTTGCCCTTTTCTGCCTCTCTCTCGCTCTCACTGGCCAAAAGTCACATTTCATCTTTTTATCTTACCTGAATTCGTGCCTCCGTCAGTCCAATCTTCATTGCCAGCTCCTCTCTGGTGTGCGTGAAAAATTAATGGTGGAAGAGAAGAAAAAAGTCTCAATTAGTTTATTTATTGCATGTTTCTGCCGTTTTGTTTGTTATTTCCCATCTTGTGGGTAAATTAATTTTGTCCGTATGCACAACAAGATGCAATTGATGCAGATTCGAAGAGTCATTCGAATCAATTCATCGTCTCTCTCTACGCCTTCCCATTGCTCAGGTCTTATTTGCCCAGTTGTGCCAATGATTTGCCACTAACTGGTTCTCATGCCTGGCATAAATTGCAAAACTATCGTCACTCATCAGATGCTATGTGTAATTGTGGCGGGAAAAAATGACCCCAGCGCGCCGGTGCGACAGAAAGACATAAAGGATTGAAATGCTCACAGGTGTCCAATTGGACAATTAGAATCGCCACAAGTGCCTAATCGATACACACAAAACTCCCCAATTTATAGCACTTTGTCGCATTTCTCGCGCTTTTTACCTCTTCGCGCACGAAGTTGCTTCTTTTGCCGCCCATCCGTGTGTCTTTTTACGACTCAATTTGTGTCCAAAGTTGAGAATTTCTCTCCTGTCCTCTATCACGTCCACAGACTGGAGGTATTCGTGTCGCTTCTCCAGATTTTCCCATGATTGATCACAGTGTTCAGCATTTGTGTTAATGTTCATTGACTTTTCGGATTCAGGCTATGTTTTTGGTGAAGAAAAATCTATTGTCTGTGCGCTTAAACATGTCTATAAAGCAGTTAAAGCATTAATGTAATTTATCGGTTCGTTTTTATTGTATCGGATCTATAGTTTATCATGACCTTTTAATTCAATATTTACACTTCACACATTGCCTGATCGTAAATCGCGACGCCTCAGGAATTCACATAAATTCGCTATAATTTCTTAATCTTCGCGAGATGTAATCAAATAAATCCAAATACTGCAAATTCTACATGCGAGAAGATCTCTCTTCTACTTCACTCTAAATTCTCTCACGATCCCCAGCAAATAATATATTATTCCATGAATTTCATCTACGTCAAATTCTACGCAGCATATTTGCACGGCACAGTCAATTGATTCATTGAGCACTTTCATTAGAATTGTGATAAATTCACAATGATTTGCGAGGAATTTGAAGAAAATCCCAGACAATTAAATTAGGGAGATGGGAAATATTGCTCAATCACTGGCAAAATTCATTAAAATGCCACTCATATCCTTTTGTTATCTAACGCACGAGCTTCTCTTCTCGAAAAATAATAAAAACACACACACAAAACAAACCTGAGTCTTTCAAGTCTGAAATTCGCCCAGAGTTTCTGCTTAATCGAAATTCAGGTTTAATCTTGAGGAATAAAAATTGCACTTGGCAGTTCATCATTAATCTTTTGTGTGTGTGTGACTCTCTTTTTTTCCACCACTTCTCTCGTCGTACCAAAGTCAATTATAGGTGAAAGAAGACAAATAAGAAGGAGAAAAGGAGACGAATTAAATGATAGTTTATTGATTGACTCGCGCCTCACACGCAATTACGATGACTTCGTCTCTTTCTGAGTCTGAAAGCGCTCTTTCGCGAATTGTTTTCTTTTTTCATCATCGGTTATGGTAATTTTTGGGGACATTGGGTTACTTTTGCCACCTCAATTTCCGCCTTCATTCGGGACAATTGCTCACCTCGTGAACACGTCGGGATAGTGCGTGCGTGAGAAGGCCTTCTCCAGCTCCTCCAGCTGAAAACTCGTGAAGGTCGTCCTGTAGCGCCTCTGTTTCCGCCGCGGCACACAATCGTCCATGTCACCCTCGCTGTTCTGCTCCGACAGGGGGCTGCCCGTGCCCCCGCCCGAGATGCCGGCGCATGATCGCTCCGAGGGACTGCCCTGTGGTGGTTTCGCCTCGTGCGGAATATCCTCCATTGATGACTCCTCCGATATGCCCATGTTGGGCGTCTCCGTCCCGATGCGTCGTGCGATGTTGAGGACGTTTGCCCAGCACTCAGCGCTGCGCCCACCGTGTCCACTCACCCAAATTGCGCCGCCAATTGCTCCCCAGCGACTCCAGCTGCAGCGTCCCTGCGAATGGCAACACTTGATTGGCAAAATATTAATTTGCGAGAGAGGCTGCGGAGCAATCCGGCAGATTGCCGCGCCGCGGAATCAGATGGAATCAAGTAGAAAAATGTGTAAAAAATTAATTGGGTTTGTGTTCGGTTGGTGTTATTATTTCGCATGGGATGAAAATTACTAACCGCAGAATTAACATTAAAAAGCCACTAAGATGTTGAGGTGAGTGCGTAAATCGAATTAATATCAGTAGCATGGGGTATGCTGGCCATCATCAGACATGATACCATTCTCCTCCTTGATCATAATGAGTATGGACAGTAGGTGTCTTATAAAATCGCTCAAACACGAACCCCTTTCTGCGAAGGAATTATTTTAATAAAGCTCCCCACGGTAATTGTGTGTGTTTTCATCATGTTCCCCACGTCCGTGCGTCTGTTCGCGGTGTGTCTCTCCCGAGAACACGCATTTCGAGAAGTCAGCAGCTTCTGATTTCTCCATCTCTCAGCGCGAGAGATCACCCAGAACACCGGGATAGATGAGGAGCAGACAGGGGCTGGCCAAAGGGGGAAGAGCATTACAAATTTATAGGCTGTTGTGCCGTGATTGCACTAATGGGCATATCACAGCACAAGTGTATTTTCGCATAAAAGAAATGAGATAGGAGTTCAATTTTGCCAGAGATACGAGAGCGGCATACAATAAATTGATGAATGTTATTAATTGAAATTGAGAATATGAAGCTAGAACGTGCCGCGATGTCTTCGGTTCGTAATTGGTGTGACCGCGCGAAGAGAAAATTGGAATCCATTAATTTACAATTTGGCGAGCAGAGATTAAATAGCCTCGAAGAACTGTTTGAACCAATTATAGTGTTTACATCGTAAATATGAATTTGAGTGACAATAATTGCGGGAATTTCCATAAAAGGATTAACTCTTAGATGACATTTTAATATACTTTGAGCTTCTCCAGAGTTGCAAGCGATGTGTGAGGTTCATGCAAGATTGCTAATTTTGATGAGACAGCTTTAGCTTCGCACATAAAACAAATTAATATACAGTAATAAATTGTATGTTGGCTGAGTGAAATCAGGCTCTATAATGTCATATAGACAATGTAAGTTGTCAACAGCAACACGGGGAGGAAATATTGAGAGTCTCTTAGAACACAATGTGCATTGTATGAAGACAGTTCTCTCCGAACTAACAACTCTCGATAGATTCACAACTCTAACATCAGCTCGCAACTGCTTCGATCTTGTTCCTCGCATCGCTTCAGGTCTTCTTCTATCGATTTGCCGGTGAGACAATCGATTAAGTCTGTGATGATGCAAGGCGAGAAAAAGAAGGGCCAATTGAATATTTATTGGGCAAGTTGATTGGACAAGTTTTCGCGATATTTACCATATTAAATAGCCCTTCTCGTGCTTGCGCACAGAGAAAAAGTGCCCAATGTCGGTGGAATTTCGTTCATTGATTGCGAAGAAGTGTCTGGGATGTGGTTGCAAGGCGAGGGCAAGAACGAGGCATGTGCGAACACTTGCATGATCATCAGCCGAGGCGGGAAGAATGATTGTCCGATTATGGGCGAAAAACTGATCAAATATCGTTAGTTGCTCACTCAACTCTGCAAATGGGTAAATAATTTGATGGAAATCAACCACCGCGAGCTGCCAACAATACCCGAGCCACAAATGGCTCGATGGCTCACCCAATTGCACACCAATCGCGAGCCCTATTGCAGCTGAATAATTCATCACTGCTGGGCGAATTATTGACGCAAGTCATTATTTGAATTATTAATTGACTCCTTGCTGATTAATTAAAAATTCTCCATTCGATCGAAAATTGATGAGCGAAAATCGGACGCGAAAGATGACGATTAAATTGATTTTATTGACTGTGCACTTGCAGTGAGAACAGCTCCTCAGCAATCACCCCATTCCAGGTCGAGCCAATGTAATTAACTCTTAGCAATCTTTACGCATTTATTATTGCTCCTGTTGGACGCTGACTGCAGCTTCTTGTGCTGCGCCCCGCAATAATTGCAACAGCCAACGACAGACACGCATTTCTTGAAACAACTTCTTTTTTATCATGTTCCGCGCTCTTAAATGCCTTCTCTTCTTGCGCTCTCCTTTGGCGTCCCTGAGAGAATTTCATCGGGACAATTTCGCAATCACTTCCCAGGAGAGTATCACAATCGAAAACAATTAATTAAAGATCAATTAATTGGAATCTCTTGTGGGTCAAGTAACTTTCATTGTGCGTGATGGAAATCGCTAAGAGGCTGACGAGCCATCGTGAAAGAGATCTATTTCCTTCGCCACTCAACTGTGGGAAGGCTGCCCCGAAAAAACAGATAATTAGAAAATACCTTACGCAATTGTTTGTCTACTTGACGAGAGAGTCCTCGGGACATAATTGAGTGGTGAATTGCTATGAAAGAGAGAGTTATGCATTACATTGGAAGTGGGTCTCTATTTGAGAGAGAAAAAAGATGCTTTCGATGGCCTGGCAATTAAATGTATTTCAACTTTTTAGCATGAAATTAAGTAATTAACCCGCTGTGGGCAATTTATTAATATCGCTCTGTCCTGACGAGTGTTCCCAGGGCGAGAGCGCATTGCAAGAAATATAAATGAGTGGAGTAATTAAATGACAAGGTATTTGTTATGAGCGATTCCCAATGATGCGATTTTTCGGCACGGCAATTCTTTATTAACGCGACCATGGATGGCCATAAAGCGGACCTGCAGAGAACACACGACTTTTAGTACGCAGCTCCGTGGCGGAGATTGTGGAGCAGATTGGGAAGTCTTGGCTGAGAAATTTAAATTGATAATTGCACCAACATTGTCATCACCCAACTGCCAATGCGAAATGAAGTATTTCTCAGCTTCTTTGGCAGCACAGGCGAAAGAGACATATCGATAAAGGACAGAATGGAAGAAAAGACATGGAAATAAAACCCCAAATTGTCTCGTTTGTGGCATATTTTTCATCCACTTAATTGAGATGAAAACATTTGTCTCTCCTGCCAATCGCTCAACTTGCAATGTTGTCGATCATCAAGAGAAGTATTATGTTGCCTTTAGTGTATATTGATTTAGTTTTTATTGCCAATCTTCCACCTCTTTGGCGATCGCGGAAAAAGTCACCCAAAGAGTCACCAGCAAATCACATTGTGGACACAAATACACGTAGTCGATGAAATAAAGTCGGCAACATGCGAGAGCTGAATGACAAACGAAGAGCCTCAGCATTCTTCGCATTCCTGCCAAACAGTCTCTCTTGCGCTCCTGCCTTTGACCATTAGTATTTTCGACAAATAGCATGTGACTTGTCTATTTGGATCCTGTCGCCTTCGATTACGCGCGTCCCTCAGATTCCCACCGATGTTCCGCATGCGATAGACAAATTCATCCTGTGTGCCATTTAGGCATGATTTTTTTTCTTTCTATTACCTGCAGCGCCGAGGGTGCGAGAGTGAGAGACGAAATGCAGCATTTTTCATCATGTTGAACATGATAATTAACGTGATGTTGGCTGAAGATTCTCCAGAAGCATTTAACATCCCAGCGAAGGAGGAAAAATGGTATCATGTGGATTGTGGTTTTGTTTGTGTGTAAATTTATGCCCACATCATAATTATGTATATGTAATCTGTAGTGCTAATTAAATTTGATAAATGTAATTATTTCATTTGTTGAGGCGCCCGTAATGTCAAATTAATTACGTTAATTACATATGAATTAATACAATGTGCTTTGTGTGTAAACAGATAAAGATTGTATACATTTCCCAATGAGTGATTATCTGACAACTCTATAATAGTTTATAATGTTAAAATGCAATTAAAATGCGATACAGCCGCAACGCCGGCAATTCTCAGCTCTAATGTTCTTCAGCATCGCCAACATTGATGTACAATCTGCTAAACAATAACACTTTTTAGCCACTCTTGCGCTCTCAGCTGATAATTTTCCCCACTCGATCGCGGCACGCAGCGCCAGTGATCATTGAAAAGCTGATTACTTACTCGCAATACGTGCTCGGGTTGATCAAATATTCGATAAGTCACAATGGATTTTCCGTGAAATACACCTTCGTGATTCGCTGAAAAGGCCGTATGTTCTAATTTGTTGGCCTGCCAACCAATGAGCACGTCATAATTCGTGCTAGAAAAATTTCGGGGGCTCATCAGAAATTCAATTACAATGGAACAGACACGCTGCTCTAGGGGAAGCCAGAATTGTTACGCAAGCTCTTTATGCGTCGCCACGAGAATTTGTGAATCATAGAAACATGGTTGTTGTGCGAATTTTCCCTTCGAACTCGAGATAATCTACATTTTCGCATTCTTAATGGAGGGTTCGATTGATATTTGAATAATTCTTTCACGCCACTTGCTCGAGATTCTCTAAATTCTAAGAACTGCCTTTTATCCTTCATGCTCGTTGAGCAGCAAAGGCGTCGAGATAAGCATCTCTAACATCGAGCACTCATCAATATCCTACGCCTTCGATCATGACTTTTCTCGCTAAATGGCGTTTTTTCTTTCTCATTCCTGAATCAATATATACCAGGTAAGCAATTTTCACGGTTATGTGCAGAAAAGTGAGTCTAGAGTGGCTTCGTAGGAAAAATGCTAGAATGCCACGCAGCACTTGTTCAGCTTGTGACGACAATTAAAGAGGCCCCAAGAAGAAAGATGTAGTACAAGTTGGATTAAGCAGCGCAAAAAAACTCGACTCGTCGCTGGAAATTAACTTGTTCTCTTTCAAATTGAATTATATAAATTAAATTGGAATTTGTATCAATTAAAGGACCTAAATTACTTTATAACTACATTTCAGTGTGTTGTGTGCGGAATGACGAGAGAGAGAGAGGCTGAAGAGCGCGAAAAAAGAGCTGTACAAAAGAGTGCATAAGCTGCGGCTCCTCCAAGTGTGTGTCAGGTATCTTTTTGCCACAACCTTCTATATGTGCCGTGCAGAGCTGCCG